TGTTTACATAGGAGTTACTTAAAAATTAGGGATTGATGGTGAAAACGGGCATAAGCCTTTTAAATAACATCACCCTACAGCCAATAGGGGCGGACCAGTAAAGAAAAATGTTGCAAAAACGGGAAATATTATTCAAACTAATATTTTCACGCATACGAAGTCGCGGGCACCGCTAGTACCTACCTACTCAATATGCATTATTATGATAATAAGAAGCATGCTAATTCGTTATATGTACCTACATTTTCATGGATAACGCTGAACCAAAGAACTGTTATTTAATCAGATGTTGAAAGAGACAATGACATTTTAGTTACAATTGAATTGAACGCGTGGGAAGCCGCGTGCATAAGCTAGTAAGAAATGTGGAAGTTTCCGAGGATGGAAGGATTACTACTTTCACTCTTAAACCACTGAATTGATTTAGAAAAAATGCACTCTTCATTTGAATGTCATAAGAGACGAACGAGAGACAAAAATAAGGACAACCCCATATTTTTCCCATGGATATCATATCGTAAGGCGACTAAGGGACAAATATGCAAGCTTGGCCTCCTCAACCCGTCTGGCCAGCGTGGGGAGTGTAGGACAAATCCTAATGCCTCTGGTCAATTAGAGAGGCGTGCTCCTGCAGTGGAGACTAAATGACCTGATGATGACAATGATATTTGTGGCGAAGAAAGGAAAGAAACCTCTACTAGGTAATCTATTATTTAGTACTAGCTTTCCGCCCGCGGCTTCGCCCGCGTGGAATTTTGTCTGTCACAGAAAAACTTTATCGCGCGCGTCCCTGTTTCAAAAACCGGGATAAAAACTATCCTATGTTCTTTCCCGGGACTCAAACTATCTCTATGCCAAATTTCATCAAAATCGGTTGCGAGGTTTAAGCGGGAAAGCGTAACAGACAGACAGACAGACAGAGTTACTTTCGCATTTATAATATTAAGTTGGGATGGACATATCGTACCTACTACATTACGGGAGGCGATGCTAGTACGAAATATCTACAATAGAAATCGAATAAAGGTACAACAACCCAGCACCACACGTGCCCAGACGATGTTTCAAGACAAATTCAATTTCGCGATCGCTTGTCTGCTTTTTTGGCACGTTATTTCGCTACGTGAAGCGACCATGAATCGAATCTATCTCGAATGTCTAGGGAGCAGTTTCGACGAAAAATCGTGATTTAGGCCTTTCATACGCGGACAGCTTGAAGCAGCTAGTAATCGATAGCTTCAAGCTGCGACTGCATAACTAACTACAGTACCTATTCTACGTACACACATAGGGTAAGGTAGGAAGGCGCTGGATGCAGGCCGCTACCAACCGTGCGATGTGGAAGTCATTGGGGGAGGCCTATATTCAGCAGTGGACGTCCTGTGGCTGAAATGATGATGATGATGACACATAGGTAGGCACCGCTTGAGCAGTTGTGACTGCTTCGGGCAATTGGCAGCACGGAAATTTCATAGTGCGGTCAAGCAGTTGCCATTGCGCACCTTCGCCCTCTTCATTCCACGTCACGCGCACTTGTGACTTGTTAAGCAGTTAATACTAGCTGATCCTGCAGTTATCAATAATGGCAGGCGCTGCAAGCTTTTGGCTATGACTGCAAGAGCGATTCGTGTATAGATCGTTTCATCCACGAAGACGCGCCCCACCAATTCTTGGTCGAGGTCGAGGTCGCGCGTGGTGCGGGGAGTTTGATCCGAGCGTCATTATTGTAGTCTGCGAGTGCACTCATGGGTAATTTAGCGTGTACCGATAACACTCAAACATTAGCGGAAGAATGGTGGGGCGCGTCTTCGTGGATGAAACGATCTATAACTGCTCAAGCTGTCCGTATATGGCGAGCCTTAGTTGGACGCAAACCGCGTTCTTTTGTGGCTGACCTCTGCCCTATATTGATCCGTTTCTAGGAATCCAGGCTTGATTAATGTTTGCGACAAGCCCGAGTCTAGTTTCGGGGCACCACACCTTTGTTTTAGGAATAGTCTGCTCTAGTCTCGTGATATTCGGGTCGACACAGAAATGCTGATCTGACACAAAATTCAAAAAAATGAGACATTGATCCGAGCGGAGAGGAGATTTCCTCCACCGTAGGTGAGCGGAGAGGATTTCCTCCACCGTAGGGAGAGATGTTAAAATGACGGAATCTGATTAGTTATCCAAAACATATCTCTTCTCCTCTTAGCTTTGATGGAAAGACCCAATCCTAAAGACATAGGTACCTACCTAATCTAATAGAAGTTTACTTAAGCGCATGGCATGTGACTGCCTGGACTGACAAAGTAAAATCGGCAATGGAAAACCGCGTATCTGGCTGCACCAGACCACCAGTCAACAGGGAGAGTTGGCGGGATCGTGCGGAGAATTCTATCCGCCTCTACAACCGATGTGAACGCAACGTAACCACGACCGCTCTGCCAAGAGCGAAACGAATAAGAAACAAGAAGAAGAATTGAAGTTAGCGCCGCAGCGGCGACGGTACCACTGCGGCATAGTGTGTAAACGGCTTAACGATTAATCTTACATTAAAGTAATTCGAAAATTAATCTCATAGTTGAATAGTCTGGTGAAGGTCGCGGGAGGTGCCTAGATGCGGGCGGCGCAGGACCGGGCGTTATGGAAATCCTTGGGGGAGGCCTTTGTCCAGCAGTGGACGTCATTTGGCTGGAACGAACGTACGAATCTCATAGTGCGCGTGTATTTCGGTCAGTCAAAGTTTCCAAGAATCACTTGTTTTTCCTCACAATCATGCTCATAAATATGAATTTAGAATAAAATAAATACTTATGAATTTTTAGATGTCATAAGCTGGGTTGTACCGTCTAACTTTACTTTAACAAATGTCAAGTCTATCAAACTCCATACAAAATCACTGGTTAAAGTTACGGTTAAAGTTAAGGTGGTGCAACTGAGGATTACTAAATTATCATGCATGCCTTACTTGAATTTTTTTTTTTTCATAAAAAGATCATTTGTAAAATAAGTAAGAGAGAGCAGTTTAGTGTGAAAAATGTAACAAAGAAATAATTAACAAATAAATTAATTTTATTTAAATTGGCCTGCTTATTTTTTTTTTGTTAAAGAAATTTATTGGATAATAAACTAATAATACCTACATTAACAAAAGGAATGGGTAATTATAGTAGTACGAGGGCTGCACTAAAAGTATCGGGAATGGAATATTTCCACTGTTCCTGTCATATTAAAATCTATTTAATTGCAAACTCCAGGGTTTTTAAAATCGTATACCATTTATTTATTTAAAAAAAGATTCTCGGTCGTATCACAAGGTCTTGTCAAACTTGTTTAGTCGTTGAGAAAATGGATTGACTCGAGAAAATTCAAGAGCGATGATTTATTATGACTTTTGAAGTGGTTTAACACAAAAACAGTGTGTTGACCGGATGATTTCTGCATTTGGTAATGAAGCCCCATCCAAAACCACAATTTATCGCTGGTTTCCTGAATTTCAACGTGGACGTGTCAAGTTCAGTGATGATCCCCGTCAAGGTCGTCCAAAAACTGCAGTCAACTAAGAAAACGTTGATGCTGTGCGTAAGCTGATTGAAGAAGATCGACATGTGATATACCGCGAAATTCAGGCAACTTTAGACATTGGCATGAGTCAAATACAAATAATCTTGCATGAACAATTAGGTGTAAAAAAGTTGTTTTCCCGATGGATACCGCATTCGCTCTGTGAAGAGCAAAAAGCGGCTCGCGTTACTTGGTGCGTCAGAACTCTCGGGAGATTACATGCAGGATCCTCAAATGCTGTATACAACATCGTATCAGGTGACGAATCCTGGATATACGCGTACGAACCCGAAACAAAAAACCAGTCACGAGTTTGGGTGTTCGAAAATGAGTTAAAGCCAACAAAAATTGTTCGTTCATGGAGTGTTGCAAAAAAAATGGTGGCCACGTTTGTCTCCAAAACCGGCCATGTTGCGACTATTCCTCTTGGGGGACAAAGAACGGTTAATGCAGAATGGTATGCTAGCATTTGTTTGCCACAGGTCGTTTCTGAACTCCGTAAAGATAACTGCAACCGCCGCATCATCCTCCATCACGACAATGCGAGTTCTCACACCGCGCACTGAACAAAAGAGTTTTTAGAGCAAGAAAACATAGAATTATTAGTCCATCCGCCGTACAGCCCCGACCTAAGCCCTAATGATTTCTATACTTTCCCTAAAATAAAGAATAAATTGCGTGGTCAGAGATTTTCATCACCTGAAGAAGCTGTGGACGCCTACAAAACGGTCATTTTGGAGACCCAAACTTCCGAATGCAATGGTTGCTTCAATAATTGGTTTCGTGTATGGAAAAAATGTGTCAAATTTCGCGGAGAATACTTAAAAAAGCAATAAATACATTTTTAAATAGTAATGTTGTTTCACTTCCTTGATTCCCGAAATTTTCAGTGCCGCCCTCGTATTGATTAAATATTATGTTCAATTATTTCAAAAATATCTAACTTGTTTTAGATATGCATTAATTATTCATAACATTTTTAAGATATGTAAATAAATAAATTAAGTTCTTTTATTAACTGCACAATTTACACAAAGATATTGGTTCTAAATGAAGTTTGTGAATAATTGAGAGTAATTTCTGCTTCATTTAAAGATCTAGAAGTTTTTTATACTTTGTAGCACAGAAGTTGAAAGTCATATAAATAAAATGAACTAATTATAACTTTAAATTGCCAGTACATTGTTTCAATCAAAACAAAGAGATGCATGTGTATTTGTGTAATGATGAAGTACCTATTTAAGACTGTTCACACTTTTGTTTCAGTAAGTGAAACGTGGCTGTATTGTTCTTAATACCAGCTGCAGCATGGATTAATTATTAGTTTTAAAATACCTAAAAGTTTTTAATACGACACATAAAACTTTATGATAAAAAATAATAATGAGAGACTGTTTTAGACCCGATTTCAGCGCTAGAGAAGAGTGTATTTTAAAATTAAAATAACTTACCACGAATCGAAAGCTTTCGCCAACTCGGTCAGCTGTTTTGGGAAACGAAACAAATAAAAACATACACTGAAAGTACAGTCCAAGGCACTGGGATGAAAGTTTTACTCAGAACAACGAGAAGAAACCAGAATTAAAACCGCGATCACTGAGAACACGCACAAAACTAATTGTAAGTCTTGTTGCACCACAAAAGGAAATTTTTGAATTAAAATGAGCATGAGCGAGCTCATGAAAAATTGAAAGGGAACTGTCAAGCTGACAAAGCGTCAGCTAGTTGAAGTTGAAAGCTGTCAGAAAAGAGTGAATGATGATGATTTTGTGAACGAATGGTGCACAGATAACACTTTAATTCTTCATTCATTCACTCACTCACCCGACGCAATGGAAAACTACCATAATGTTACTATGTTATTGATGACATTACTTGAATAGTAGTTTTTTTTTATTGAAAAGAGGAAGTAGTGAAGTAATAAAGTGATAATGTCCTCAAAATTTACATGACGTATTGTTGACATGTTGATACGGTTAACGTAAAAAGAAGAAAAAAGACAGTTTAATAATTCAATAATTATCTTTTAGAAAGCATAATATCTATGGTAAAATTACTAAACGCAATTCAATCAATAGCTAACCGCGACTGCATGGCGCGTGGTGGTTATTGTGATTTATTCTATGACAGGAGCAGTCAGTGTACATTTCTTTTAATCTCGTACTTTCAGCGGCCATGCGCAAATGCGCAATACGTAAAACCATAGAATATTAATAAGTATTTATTAAACGTTGAATGGCTGGCCGTATTTTTGGTGATTTGAACGGTACTTATCTTCTAAATTACTTACTTATTGACAAAAAGTATTTGTAGGGCTACTAAGTCTAACATTTATGGCAAACAAATTCAACTGAGTTAAGCTTTACTTTCATTCGAAAATAGACGATCAAAACATCTGAAAGTTAGTTTTTTCATGTGATTTCCATGTACAAAGAAAGATTAAGTATAAGTAGAATCCAGTTAGTGTAGTATCTCTAAATCGTTGACATTCTGCCAGCTCGTACTAAGCGTTTCGTTAACCATTTTGTAATGCTAACAGCTGGGGACTGGAATTCGCTGCCTGCTGCTATCTTTCCCGAACACTATAATCCGGGCCTTTTCAAGGCGAGAGTGAATAGGCACTTACAGGGCAGATAATTATGTATGTACCTACCACCTAGATTTGATTGATCTCACTTAACATCAGGTGCAATTACGGTCAAATGCCTGACTTGTTCTGCATGAAAAAATGTTCCGAGCAATATTTCGTCAGAAATCGAACAACATAGAAACAATAATTATTTGAATATTTATTTTATTTTTCAAACAAAGTTAATAATATTTTTAATGACTTACTTTTTCATCATGAAAATGCAACACGTTGCCTACAATACATAAATATGTATTTGACATCGAACGTCAAACTGTCCATTGGTTTCATATAATACCACCAAATTGGGATGTATGTCCACCTATGCAACGTCCAAAAGTTGTAACTGTACAGTGACTACGCAATGAGTTATCTGTTGCATGCAGTTTACTAGTTACGTCAACTTACGTCAACACTCCTTTTACCTGTTGAATGTTCAGATCCTATCACAGTTTCCGAATGAATCATTCATACGTCAAAATCAAAGATAGGTCAATCTTGGACGCATCCCATGCATCTTTCGATCAATAATGTATGACGTGCGCTTTAATCATTTCTTCTAAAAACATTCGTGGTTTAATGGATGTGATTTAATGAAGTGTAATTAACATTTCAAGTTACAGTGAGTTTTCTCGTTTGTAAGTAATAAAGTAGCTTTGGAAATAAGAATTCAGAATTTGGTTGACTACTAGATGTTGACTAAATTATTATTGCATTCGCAGGAAAATGTCTACATTGCACACATTCGTAGCAGACGCTTTACTGGACAGATGTGATAGCAACATCGAAGTTAATGTTTATTGGTCCTATAATCGGTACTTATTATGCATGTTTTTTATTAATTTGATGTATGTTATTAGTCGATGTTTAGCTTACCACCCCGCAGTCTTATTTTAAGAACAATCATCCATTATTTTTCGACGGGTAGGTCCCTACCTACTCTCTCTGGGAACAACTATAGGGCGAGCTGAACTGTTTCCGACTGTAAACAAATAATGGTTGCAGGTATCTCTGGCAGAAAATTATTCTCAGTTCTATTAAAAAAATATAAAATAGGTATAGGTACATACCTACATTACATACCCACCTTGATTGTTGTATTATAGTAACAAAAGGTCAGTTTAACATTTTTACACAGCATGTTTGGAATATGGGCTTAAAGTTTCACGACGATGATAGCATTTATTATTTACAAATTATTCTGTTTTTGGAAAAAACAAAACACTATGTAGGTACACATTAATCAGAGTAATAAATTAACTTTATGAATGAACAGAGCGTATTGAGTAGCGTCCTGCGTTCCCACATCATTGCCCAATACAATCAACAATAGAAAACAATAGTTATACTGTTCCTTGTATGTGTCGGCGGCTGAGCCCGCCAGTTTTATTTTAGTCGCAATTACACCTTTAAAGAAATCACATGTTTTACTGTTCCAACCTTCTGACGTACGTTTTGTGGATTTAACTTATAAAGTGGACATTACTTATAAGTGGACAACAACAATGATATACCTGAACATAACGTATATTAATATAATTACGTACATCGGGTATATAAAATTAACGTACACACTAAACGTGAAAAAGTCCTTTTATGCAAAGAACTGTAGCTGAATACTTATCGTAGGCTATAAATCCACTTAAAACTTTTCGTCGCTTTTCACCTCTTGCTTGAACAGCCTGTAGATAGTTGTGTAGCAAGGTAGGTATTATGACATGACATGACTATCATGAACACAATTAATTAGGTATTTTTGTAGTACGTATTCTAAATGTGGCTTAGTGCTGAAGCTTCAGAGACGAATCAAAATTGAACATTTATGTTATTAAATAATTAATTATTTAAAAACTTACCATTATTAAATAATTATTAGTACAAGTTATATAACTAACTTGTAGCACATTAACTTACCATTAGGTTAACCTAACGGTAAGTTAATGTGCTACATCATTCATTATAGTTTGAGAAAAAAACATTTTTATTTTTAATCTTCCTGTGGAGGTGTAGTAAAAGGAACATTAGTAGATTTTGTAAGCAGCACATGGCAACATTGTTAAGGCAGAATTGATTTGACGCCCTGGCTGACATTGCGACTGAAGAATTTAAAAAGTGAATGAAAGTGATACGTGAGTGCAAAACGTAATTTCCAGTGAATTCGTTTTATCCATACGATAGTATTAAAATTTAACATTACAGAAAACTCTTTTGTGAATGGATTGTGGTTTGTGACACCCTAAAAAGCCAGTGAACGCGATGATTATTGAAAATCCAGACGCTTTCAAAAGCTGGTTGACGTCCATATTGGAACCTCTGTGAGTAGCGGCCATATTTTCTCCACTATTTACAACTTGAGAAAAAAAGAATGCCTTGCAAGTTTGCAACGTGGAAAGTTTGCAGCCTTGCGTAAAATTATAACTGAATCCATCAGTAATCTAATTGAATATAAATTGGATTTAGATGCTCGGTGTCAAGTTTCATCCCTTCAATCTATTTTCTGTCAATGTCATAACACATGGTCGATTAAATTCGTAATTTCACCTCTGAAATTGGTTACGGAGCCACATTTTCACGTTTTTCAGTGCCAACGTGACTTAAATCACGCTCTTAGTACAGTTTCTACCGCATTCCGTCACATTAATTATGAATTACTCATCTGCATTGAGCCTACGTTTCTGGGTCTCGAAACTTCTTGTGATACTTTGATTTTCTATGAAATTATGTGATTTATTACATAGAAGAGGATGATTTCATTGTCTAATGGCTAATTAATTACCCACACTGAGTCATAAGAGGTCATGTCCATGTTGACATCTTACCAATGTTACCCTTTACCACTTTAACCTTTTCTACATGGAATTTCCCACTATTCAAACTAGTTTATAATCAAAGGCTTAGTATACATTTCTATCTAGATTTAGCCATAAAATTACTATGGGTAACCTGTTCATTACATTATGAATTTTAATTTACTGATTCATATTAGTTTAACTGGACTATACACACATACATGCTAAAATAACATGTATCCATGTTCAAGTAAGACTTGTCATGCAGATAATGACTATTGCCACAATCAAACCTTAATATGTAGCTCATAGTTTGAAATCTAACTATAAAATAAAAAATGTGAAAGTACCTCTGTCTGTATACTTTCATGTTTAAATCACTAAAGAAGTTTGGTGTACAAAAACATAAAAGTTTGTTAGGGTAAAATTTTCAATCCCAAAGTATTAAAAATAAAACTCCGTCACTGTAATTTTAGTCCATGTGTGGGGATTTTCTATATTAATATCCTAAAATCACCATGGGGAATAATAACTAACAAAGACATCTACCTTTACCCCCTACAATGTTATATTTTTGTCTTTACAAAATCTGTATGTTCATATTTCTTTTTAAATTCAGCTTATCATAATCCTAAACAACCTAGCAATAAAGTTACTTTACTACTATAAAACCTGATTTCCTAAATAAGTTATTTGAATTTTCACAAATCTTGTGTGCCACCATGATATTTTATAAAAAGCTCAGAATCAACTATAGATAAGAGTCAATCTTTCTAATTAAGATCTTTGGAGGAGGCCTATGTCCAAGGACAAACTGGAGATACCAAACCTACTCAAAATTATTATAATTGTATCATGTAAAAATATTTTGACAGTAATAAAGGCTGCAAAAAATAATCACGGGACTGAGATGTGAATATTACAAATTATTTAATTTCATAATGTCTTTATACTCACTGCTCTATTAGTTTGTCAAAATAAAAAACGAAGTCATGTCATAATCACCGTTCATTTATTTTGGTACAACACAAACATAAACATAGCTCACAGTGGAGGTACTATATTTTTAGCCTATGAGTTGTTCGCGTAAAATGCGTGGGGTATACCTATGTGATCACGTCATTTAAAATAACAACATTCAAGGTGTGGTTTAGTGTATTTTAAACTCTAACGCACAGAGAAAATGCTGCAAAAGTGAAAGGTACAAATAACTTTTTCTCCAAAAAGGTTTGACTGATTCATACAGTTTTTTATCCACAATCTATTTCATGAATCCTCTATTTGCTACTGGTGAATTTTAGAGTGTCAGACTCAATGCATTGTTTCGTTATTAGGGCCTTTGAACCTTTGTCAATTAATTAAACAATCTTTTAAATGGTGATGTTAACACATCACTAGGCTGTGATAAAAATACATTTAAAACGTTGGTTGAAAAAGGTTAATGTTATAAAATATTTTTTTTGCATTGTTCATGGGTTATTTAGTTTTTTTAACCGACTTCAACAAAAGGAGGAAGTTAATAATTTGTTTGTTTTTTCTATGCCAAGATTTCTGATCCGTTTGACATGATCGTTTTTCTGCTCGATGCCAAAAGTTGCCCATTGGTCCCATAATTCAAAGTTGTTTTGATTTTACAACTAACGTAAAAATTAAAATTATCTGTCTCTACTCACATGTTGCTAAGAAACATATCAGAAACTTATCTTATTACGTAACTGATAAAGATAACCGCAATGAAATAAATATAAAGTGCTGCGACATAACATGATAAGACCTTTGTGAACTGATTACACGGTTTCTAGTTACGAAGTGTGGTTGTCTTGTCCGTGACGTAGAAATATGGGTATTTGACAGTCACATAACAGTGTTTTGGGTTCTGCTACCTCAGAGCATGACACAATACTAAGCGGTAGCCATTTTTTCAGCAGGTTCTAACTCCCTACAATCCAAGTAATTTTTTATTTGTGTTAGAACCAATAACATTTTTTTATTTATTTATTTCTTTCACATGGCCTAGTGGGTCACGCACGTACTGAACTACTATGCCAGAGGTCGGGGATTCGATCCCTCAACAATGCACAACTATGTATTTTACTTCCTAGTAAAAATTGAAAAAGTCCTCTGGAAAAATCCACTATGTTATAGATAGTGCCATCTACGAAGACGCGCCCCACCAGTGTTTGGTCACGGCCGCGCGGGGTGTGCACTCATGGATCATTTAGCGGGTACCGATAACACTCAAACATTAGCGGAGGAATAGTTGGGCGCGTCTTCGTGGATGATCATAATGGTGTAAACAATTAAGAAAATGGATCAATTCCTAAAATTAAGTGATGAATATTCATTTTGTTAACTGGCGGCTAAAATAATTTCTTAATTGAATAAATTACCATAGTAATACATTTACTGTGGCGCATTACCAAGCCTATGCATGCGGTTAGCGGAAAAGTACGCACTTGTATGACTTTCACACAGCATTCTATAATCGGATGACAGCAATCGGACGACTACGACTACTCCGGACTGTATTAGAAAAAACCAGGGTTCGAAAATATCCGATATTTATTATAAATATCAAAATATCGGATATTTATGATATATATCCGATATATATCAACTTTGATATATATCAATTTTGTATGAAAGCCAAAGTATTATTTTATTGTATTATTCATGAATACTATTGCATATGTGTTACATAAACATGTTTTTAATGTTTTTAAAACTTAAAATCAGACAAATAAAGCAAAAACATAAAATATCTTTGAAATACGGCAAAATCAACTAAAAAAATAAAAATCTTATGTCAAAAAGTACAAATACAGTAACAAATTTTAAAAGTTGATATATATCATCAAAACCGGCTTGATATACATATATCGGATATATATCCGATATATATCTTGATATATATCCCTTGATATATATCCTCGAACCCTGGAAAAAACGCAGTCGGCCGACAAAAAGTCAGGACCCTGTGAGCAGTCTTGCGACGCATGTCCCCTGCTCAAAATGTCTAAATCAAGCTATGGGTACTAATGGGTAGTTCGACAAAGAATTTAGCTAACATTTGTTATCTCTTTCAGATGCGATGCTGACCCGGCCGCGCTCGCCAAATACGTGTACGCTCTGGTCAAGAAGGACAAGCCTCTCGAGGAGCTTCGAGATGGCATGGTCGACCAGCTTGACGTGTTTCTGCAACATGGTGAGTAGATTCAATGATATAACGGGTAATATTCAAACTTCCCCAACGCGTCTGGCCATGGTCAATGCAGGCTAAAGGACGAAGCACACCATTCAACCCGGAAACGGATCGTAAGCGTATTAACTCGAGGCGGTCACTATTTGTATGAAACTCCATACTGCAACGCACATTATCCGCACCGTAACGTAAACGCCTCGCCTCTTTGACAGCGCGGCGAAAGGCGATACGGTGTTAATCCGTTTCTGGATTGATAAGTGTGATATAACCATCCTTTATTGCGTTGATATTGGGCACGCAGATAGTCATTATGACGTAGCCACCCGATACTTTTTGTATTTTACAAAAATAACCCTCAAGGGGATAAAAAATAACCCTCTAAGGGGATGAGAAATAACCCCCTAAGGGGATGAAATTGGTCCAAAGTTTGTATGGATAGAGAGAAGAGGTTGTAGTTACGCTCTGGTCAAGAAGGACAAGCCTCTCGAGGAGCTGCGAGATGGCATGGTCGACCAGCTTGACGTGTTTCTGCAACATGGTGAGTAGGTTCTATGATATAACGGGTAATATTCAAACTTCCCCAACGCGTCTTGCCATGGGGAATGCAGGCTAAAGGACGAAGCACACCAATCAATCTGGAATCGGATCGTGATCGTATCAACTCGAGGCGGTCAGTATTTTTTGTATGAAACTCCATACTGCAACGCACATTAACCGCACCGTAACGTAAACGCCTCGCCTCGCGGTTGACAGCGCGCGAAAGGCGATGACAGCTCGCGGAAGGCGACACGGTGTTGATCCCTTTCCGAATTGATAAGACTGCTATGAACTAAAAGGGATGTATTTCATCGCCTTAGATTTAGAGAGTCCAAAGTTTGTATGGATTGAGAGATAATATTGTATTTACGCTCTGGTCAAGAAGGACAAGCCTCTCGAGGAGCTGCGAGATGGCATGGTCGACCAGCTTGACTTGTTTCTGCAACATGGTGAGTAGATTCTATGATATAACGGTGTTAAAAACCTATGACGAGGCAGAGTATGTTCTAAGGGAGTATTCCCACCTCTCGTTCCCACCGCTGCAACTCCTGTGTAGCCAGGATCTACAGCTTGACCGCCGATAAATTATATTTGCTGATTGTGTTGATATTCAGTACGCAGATAGTTATTATGACGTAGCCAACCGTTAAGACAGGATTTTACATTTTTTCCCGCATCCAGGTGCTTTCCGTGACCTGCATCAGATCGTTGGTCTACAGAGTGACTACGTTTACCGATACCTGGTGGTTACTCATCAGCTGTACGACCTATTTTCTTTTTTAGATCGTATTATTGGTAAGGCCCGCCATACACGGACAGCACGAGCAGTTAGTGATCAACATACACGGACCACTCTTGTAGTCAAGAGTCAACAGCTTGAAGCTGCCAGTGATAACTGCTCGAGCAGTTGGTATTAACTGCTCAACAAATCACAAGCGCGCGCGCCGTGGAATGAAGAAAGTGGGCGGAGGTAACTGCGCGAGAGCTGTCGACAGCTCGAACAGTCAGTTCGAAAGCTCGAAATTCACCGTGCTGTCGACCGCCCGAATCAGTTGCAACTGCTCGAGCGGTTCGTGTATGTGCGTCCATAGAACTCTGCAGTTCACTGTGCAGTCGCAGCTTGAAGCTGTCGACCCTGACTGCTTCAAGCATTGCCGGCCTAAAACGAAAACTAATTGATGATTACAAAAGATCGCTTCCTAGCGATAGGACGGCATAAATTGTGCCATTTCTTTTTGTTATTTCTTTTCTATTTCTAATTTGCCGATGTACAAACGTCGGTACGTTAGATGAGTAATACTTTAGTTTGTGCATCTGTTTTTAATGTTTTGTAAGGTGTGCAATAAAGTGTAATTATTATTATGTTTACCATTGTCAACAGAAACCAAACCGTTCGTGGACATGCTGTTCAAATCTCTGGAGACGCACGAGTACCTCTTGCCGACCGAGAAGCGGCCGTCGCCGCCGCCCGCGCCAGCGCCCGAGCCAGCTGCGGAGCCCGAGCACAACACGGCCGAGGGTAAGACGACAATTTATTAGTATTTAGCAGTTTTCCCACACGTTTTCAGTCTTTGGAACATGTTGACAGTCTTTGAAACACGATGACAGTGTTTGGAACATGTTGACAGTGTTTGGAGTGTCTTTAGAACACGTCTACAATGTTTGGAGTGTCTTTGGAACACGTCGATAGTGTTTGGAGTGTCTTTGGTACACATCTACAATGTTTGGAGTGTCTTTGGAACATGTAGACAGTCTTTGGAACACGTCGACAGTGTTTGGAGTGTCTTTGGAACATGTTGGAATACAACGACAGTGTTTGGAACATTTTGACAGTCTTTGGAAAATGTCGACAGTATAGTCACTCGTTTAAAAAGAAATTAAAGCACTACATTACAAAACACTTTCTAGAATTCTCGTGAAAAAAAAAAAAAAAAAATAATAATAATAATCTGGTTCATTGTACGAGCACATTCATTCATTCACATTCTCGCGTTTTTATTAAAAATTCTACTCGTAATGTAAGAAAAAAAAAAAACCGGTCACATAGCAACTGTGATAGCAACTGTTGAGCGTTACGTAATGGAAGCCAAGCAGGTTGCTGGTTTTGTGGTTGCAGTGTGGGTAGGTTAAGAATAAAACTACACTTGAATTTGAAAAAATATAGCATTTGAGCGGTTTGTTATTATTTTATTTTATTTTAACTTCATTATTTTCTGTACCTAGTTTCATTTAATACATAAATGAAACTAGCTTGTCTGTTGCGTGCACTTGCTGCTTATTTATTATAAAGTGTATTCTGTATTTTTCTTATAAGTGAATATAATTGTATTCTTTTAGAAAAATAAATATCTAAAACCATAAAACCATAATACAGTATTGTAACTTCATACAAACGGACGAAACGCGAGCTTTCCTTCGAAATTCAAATCTCGGTATGCGCTCGACATGCAAAAGTCGGGGGTGTCGCGAATGTGCCACAGTAATAAACGGACGATGTGTTGTTTTTTAAACAGTAAGCGCTCTTTTTTTATAAAAATAATTACAAGTACCTATTTATACAGGGTGTTAGGTAAATGGGTTTATAAGCCGACACTAGCCCATGTTGACATATGCATATAAATGGTATGGTGAAGTCAGTGATATTATCATTTATTTTTTTAATTTTCATACAAAATAAAATTTATAAAATCAGATTTGTATGAAAATTAAAATTATTAAAATGATGATATCAATTTTCTGACTTCACCATACCATTTATATGCACATGTTAACATGGGTTAATGTCGACTTATAAACCCATTTACCTAACACCCTGTATAATAATCAAGCATTTTGTACGCCTCAGCCTCATCTACTAATCACAAAACAACATGCATTTTTATTGTATTTCATTCGCAAAGTATTTTGTTTGTCAAAATAAAATAAAAATTACAATCACAAAATAGGTACACACAGCCTCACTGTTAACTATCCATTTCCGTTTTTGTTCTCGCTCTCATCAAATGGCGATTCTTTGCGATAGAACGAGATGACATGACAGGCAATGGATAGCTAACACTGTTGGCGATGGTACATTCACAAAACTAGATAGAAATTCTAAGTAGGCAGATGTAATGAAAATAGGGTCTGCGGGTGGGCAGCCCTATCGCATGTTGTCATACAGTGACGTACCGCGGGGCTGTTGACATTTATTTCAAAAATATGGCCGAGTTGGAATACTGTATAGATAGTATTACCGTGGTATAGTTCCAAAATACTGAACTGTCCTATGCATGACATTGACAGTGGGGCGCCACCGTCAATACCGGATCAATAGTTCCGATTTTTGCCATGTTAGAAACCATATAGTTGAACGATGGTAGCGCTCCCCTGTCATTGAGTTTGGTGGGACAGTTCAGCGTGGGTCATCTATATTTGGAACATGTCATCAGTGTCAAATATTCTTCACTAGGTTATTTAGAGTTTCGCCCACCTCAATTTAGTGAAAGGTATACATAAATAGTGCTTTTGTCAACAAAATATCTCCTCTCCAGTGCCTCTACCGCCGGCCGTGACGACCAACGGGGCGGAGTCCCCTCTCGCCGCCGCGCCCGCGCCGGCCGCGGAGCCCCGGCCTCCGAGACACCGCGTGGTGGTCTCGCGGACCGCGGCGAAGCCCGCCCCAGCGCCGGCGGTGCCTAGGGCGCCGCCCACGGAACAGACTCTTGTCAAGGTGAGGATTTTATGTGCTTTGAAATGTGTAATTTATGACGATGTATGACACTAAATTTCACGCGGGTGAAGCCGCGGGCAAAAGCTAGTTAAGGAAATATATTATTCAAACTATTTCCACGCGTACGAAGTCGCGGGAAAAGTGATAACATAAATTTAAAATTTTAAAATAACCTTTCGTTTGCAGGTTTTGCCCCTGACAGAATTACTGGAAGAACCAGTGGACCACGCGCCAAGGAGACGAGACCGGAGGGCCGACTCGGTGAGTTCTTACATCTAGTTATATCATAGTGTCGATAAACCAAGATTTTTAAAGATATTTGCAGAAAAACACTATACAGGGTGTTGCTTTCAATCCTCGCCATATTTATATACGTCATCTATTATGATATAAATAAACGCATTATCCACCAAAAAAAAAATACAAACGAACGTGGAATTTTTAGCGAATATTTTTCGTGCGACATCAACTGTACTGTGCCTCGCAATACTGCAATAGTTTACACTGCGGCACCCATCGAGCTACGCGGATTGCTCGATTATCATGTCGGATTGCTACTGAAGGCAGCCACGTAAAGTAGGCAGTGATAATAGATATTTTTCTTTGACCAACTAAAGTTACAGTTCGTTTAAAAATTTTTCGAACTCAATTTTTTACTGATTCGTGATCAGAATAAGGCTACATAATCAACTCCCTAAATATGGCCAGTTTTGAAATCAACACCCTGTATTATGACGTCGTGCTCTGCGTGCCCAAACAACTGCACGCAGGAAGATTTAATGAATGCTATTGACAGCGTCACTCTTGTTACAACAGTGGCGTTTACAGTGACTTGTTACAAGAGAGAACCAAAGTGACCGACATAGCTCGCAGAATTGCTAAAATCAAGTGGCAGTGGGCGGGGCACATAGCTCGTAGAGACGATGGCCGTTGGGGCAGAAAAGTTCTCGAGTGGCGACCACGCGGCCACGGGCAGGCCTACTAGGTGGACCGACGATCTGGTAAAGGTCGCTGGAAGAGCCTGGATGCGGGCAGCGCAGGACCGTTCATTGTGGAAAACCTTGAGGGAGGCCTTTGTCCAGCAGTGGATGTCATTTGGCTGAAACGAATGAAGGAACGAACTCAATCAAAATCAAATAACTTTTAAAAAAAATAAAACCGACTTCAAATGCGTGAACACAAAAAAAAACTAAAAATTAAAAATATTGCGTATAAAAAGTTAATCCCTAATTTTCCACCCTTGGGGGTGAAATATTTTCTTCAAATTCGCATGAAACCACCCTTTTGATAATACCTATTCAACAAAAAAATAATCGTTCAAATTGATTTATAATCAGCGGAGATATTGCGTATAAAAAAGTTCATCCCCAATTTTCCACCCTTGGGGGTTGTTTTTTCTATTATTTAATTTAAATGGGACCACCCTTGAGGTATTACCTATACGCCGAAAAAAGATTTGTTCAAATCGGTTCATAATTGGCGGAGTTATCGCGTAACAAACATAGAAAAAAAAAAACATACGGGTCGAATTGAGAACCTCCTCCTTTTTTGAAGTCGGTTGAAAATATTTATTCAGTTTAGACCACAAGTGGCACTTATGAACGTCAAAATATAAATAATAAAAAAAGAAAAGGTAGCCCTTATGGGGCACTTTACATGTCTCCTTATCTTTTGGGCCCTACCAGCGCTTCGAGACAAACATATGGCATAACTCAATATTAATGTTTTGATTTGATTTGATACCACAAACTGTTGTAGAATTGCCCATTCATAAATTTAAAGCACATACCAAAAGCACCTTATGAAAAAGGGCTACAATAAAGTTTATGATTATATAAAAGATAAAAATGTTTGGAATGTTTAACTACCTAGCTCACATCAATACTTATGACTATAATATTTTGTATATTTTAAAGACTGTAAACCCTTGAAAAGGAGGCTGTCTATAGTGACTGAGTTTCTTGCGCTGCTTCTTCTCAGCACTGGCCCATTTATTGTCCCGAAGCAGTGGTAGGGTTAATATTGGGACGTGTAAAAGTGCTTTCTAAAAGCATATTTGCAAAAATAAATGAATTTTCAACCGACTTCCAAAAAGGAGGAGCTTCTCAATTCGACCCGTATGTTTTTTTTTTCTATGTTTGTTACGCGATAACTCCGCCAATTATGAACCGATTTGAACAAATCTTTTTTCGGCGTATAGGTAATACCTCAAGGGTGGTCCCATTTAAATTTAATAATATAAAAAACAACTCCCAGGGGTGGAAAATTGGGGATGAACTTTTTTATACGCAATATCTCCGCCGATTATAAACCAATTTGAACGATTATTTTTTTGTTGAATAGGTATTATCAAAAGGGTGGTTTCATGCGAATTTGAAGAAAATATTTCACCCCCAAGGGTGGGAAATTGGGGATGAACTTTTTTATACGCAATATCTCCGCCGATTATGAACCAATTTTTTTTGGTCTACGTTTTAGTGTAGGTTTTTTGGAGTCGGTTTTATTTTTTTTTTATAAAATTTTACTTGTATGAATTTTGATTTGATTTCAAACAGTTGCGCGACAAAGAGGAGCGTCGCCGTCGCCGGTCGCGCTCGTGGGAGCGCCGCGCGCGCGCCAGAAGACATCCCCGGGACATTCACAATGACGACAGAAGGTACGTACCTAAGGCACTGGAATCGTTGAATGCAATCCTATCGAGTAATCGTTCTATCGCAATGACCCTTATGAATACGGATATAGAACTGGTTTTCAATGGAACGACTTCTGAACATCAGCGAGATCTTGACTGTATTAGGCAATTAGGCCACTGGACTATTCCCAAATCTAAGGGCGTACCCAGCTTTTGGCCTAGGGGGGTCAAATCGGATTTTTTTGGTCAGATAGTTCGACTTATGCCCGTTTTCACCATCAATCCCTAATTTTAACTACTAACCATGTGTACTAACAAAACTCGATTGTCAACTGTTGTATATTATACCTAATAAATAAATTTTGAAGTGACCCCTATGGTAACGCATACAGGAATTTTGTTTTTATACGGGTTTGTTTATTTGTTCACTTGGCTTTGTCCTCCAGTGGACGTCTTTCGGCTGAAACGAACGAACGAACGAATGGGGTCACTTAAAAGTTAGGGATTGTTGGTGAAAACAGGCATAAGTTCCTTCCAAAGCTACTTTCAGGGAGACAGGAGGGTCTGCCCCCCTCCCTGTCATCCTGGGTAAGCCCATGCCCACCTCTCGTTCCCACCTGCAACTCCTGTGTAGCCAGGATCTACAGCTTGACCGCCAATAACACAACCAGTGAAGGACAAGTTTGTCCCGGGGGAAAGATAAACTGTCATTGAACCCGTACAGACATTAATCAGAAGAACATAGGAGTTCGAAATTAAGATTCAGATTTCACTGCAGCGCAAAGCGCAGCAGTGAAAGGAAGGCGGTCCTTCATCATCATCATCGTTTCAGCCAAACAAAAAGTCAAGTTTATCCCAGAGGACTGTGAAAGACTTTCCGTGTGGCTGAAATGATGAAAGATGATGTATGTGCTGCGCTTTGCACTACAGGGAAGTCTAAATCTTAACCTCGAACTCTTATGTTCTTCGGATTCATTTCGTTGCGGGTCCAATGACAGGTAATTTTCCCCCGGGACAAACTTGACCTTCACTGGTTGGGTTATTGGCGGTCAAGCTGTAGATCCTGGCTACACAGGAGTTGCAGCGGTGGGAATAGTCCCGTTCTGTCTCCTGTACATCATGTTCATCATGTTTCTATTGTATTCTGTCTCCAGACGGCCGGTGTCCCGATCACCTTCTCCGCGAGGTCGCTACCGAAACCGAAGCCCGCCGCCTTCGATTCTCGACAGGGTCGGCAGCCGGTCCAGGTGAGAATTATTACAAACATATTACAAAAACACAAAACACCTAAGAACACAAAACACCTACACCGCCACATGTGTTCCGGCAGTTAGAGGTAAGATAGCCAGTTCCTCCGTGGTTGAGGATTCCGGGTGAAGCTCGCTTCCACCTTCGGCCTGATCGTCACTTACCATCAGGTGAGATACAGGCCAAGAGCTTCCTCGTTGTGGATAAAAAAAAAATGCGCCTCAAAATATCCTCCCAACCGAACCGACTAGTTTCAGGGCCAGTCTGAAAATCAGCGCTGAGCTTGTAGCTCAGCATTATGCTTAGACTGGTACCTTTTGTTTACCTATAAAATTATAACTTGTTAAGGTTCAATTTTTTGTTTATAACTTTTTCTTTTTCTTTATTTCTGTAAAAAATAAATTTCACATGTAATTTATTTTTTAGTGTAGCCATAAAAAACATTTTAATTTTTTCATTAACTGTTCTATATTTTTCAGTCCCCACAGTAAATGATTATCCCCTTATTACAAAAAGTTAAACTCACAAACTCACGTTGTGACATAGATCTAGCACATAACTCTGTCAGTGTGACTGTATGGGAGCGACACGGGAGAATGTTTTTTGTCAAATGTCAGACTTCAGATTTGTATTGTATGTGTAAAAGTGCTTTTTATAGCCTATTTGCAGAAATAAGTAAGATTTATGAGTTTTTATGCTCTGTCACGTCATATTATGTCAAAATCATCCCTTCCACACCTCAGTCACAGACCAAGTTAAGCGCTGGACCTAAGTTTAAGTTGACATTTAGTCATGTTTCTGTCATTTTAAACCAGTGTTCTTCTTGCTATGTTCTTCTGATTAATTTCTTTGCGGGTCCAATGACAGTTCATATTTCCCCCGGGACAAACTTGGCCTTTATTGCGCCTAACTAAAATGACCCTACCTACATGAAAAATACACTCGACATCAAATAAATCGCGCCTCCCGCGACAAGCACTTTCAAACGTATGCATCCCCACTTCCTACCAATATTGGCACCATTCAAAAGCCTAGTTCTAAATTTCATTTCATTAAAGGAAAGGTTTTTACCCCAAAAATGTGTCTTTAGAAGGATCCAGAGTCACTTCTTCAAAAAATAGGTAGTTACGCTTGAGTCAACTTTTATGGCTATAAAACTGTTAAGTTGGGATTAATCGCTATCCATCTGTTAAAGAGGACACGTGAGATCATTATTTGGTTTTATAACAAATAAAAATTGGTCTAATTGATCCCAGAGGTGAGCCCAAAGTGAGGTCTTTTTTCAAGTCACATTTATGGTATGTGTTTATCATTTATTTAGAAATTAAGTGTATTTTTCTTTAAGGATATTTATTGGGCTTTCAAATAACACCAATATTGTTGGGGCACCATGATTGTGTCAGAAGAAAATCTTTAAAGTTCGCGTCGCGGAAGGTGCGATTTATTTGATGTTGAGTATATTTCAATCATATTCTAATAAATGTTTGACTACCACAGATCAAGGTCACCAGTACCAGTGCGGGAAAGAGACCACGAGAGAGAGCGGGAAAGACTGCGCGTCCCACGCGAGTTGGAGCGGGACAGGATATCGCGCGACAGGGAGCATAGGGACAGGCTGTCCCGCTCTAGAGACAGGGACAGGTGAGACTATGAATCTTAAAAAACTTATTGAAATAAGTAGAAAAACATGTTATAAAATAAATATACAGGGTGTTAGGTAAATGGATATATGAGCCGACACTAGCCCATGTTAACATGGTCATATTGGTCATATAAATGGTATGGTGAAGTCAGAAATTTCATATCATCATTTAATATTTTTAAATTTTCATACAAAATAAATTTTATAAAATCTGATTTGTATGAAATTTAAAATAATTAAAATGAAGATATCAATTTTCTGACTTCACCATACCATTTATATGACCATGTTAACATGGGCTAGTGTCGGCTCATATACCCATTTACCTAACACCCTGTATATGCAGTTCTATTTCTTTTCAAAAATAAAGGAATGTTTTCTTTGAGTAAAATTTTCTATCTGCATTATTAAGAGTACTTTCCCTCCAGGTGGCATTACAAAATTAGAGACGGCCATAAATATGACATTGACAAGAAGGCGCTACTATCAATACTTGACGTTTCAGAGTCGTTGTACTTTACCAGTGATTGTTGTTGATTGACAGGTCACGGGACAGATCGCGCGACCGCTCCGTGTCCCCGCGGGACGCGCGGGACAGACTGGACCACAATGACCTGTACAAACGACGATGCAAAGATTTTGACGGTAAGATTGGATATTTATTTTGTTACTGTTCTTTCATAAAAGTTGACCCACGCTGAACTGTCCCACCAAACTCAATGACAGGGGGGCGCTACCATCGTTCAACTATATGGTTTCCAACATGGCAAAAATCGGAACCAGCGATCCGGTATTGACGGTGGCGCCCCACTGTCAATGTCATGCATAGGACAGTTCAGTATTTTGGAACTATACATGTCATTTATGTCATAGTATAAAGGCGATTTCGCAACTTATAAAAACTCATTTTATTTTTACCCGACTGCGCCAGAAGGAGGGTCATTGAAAGTAGGCTTTTAAAAAGCACTTTCACACGTCCCAGTATTATCCCTACCACTGCTTCGGGACAATAAATGGGCCAGTGCTGAGAATGACGGTTCTCTGCTTCTACTTTCCAAGCGCTTACAACAGAAAATATTTATTCTGATTAGTTTTTTTTTTTATGCAAAACAAGGCAATTATTTGACCACAATCGCACCTGATGTTAAGTGGGGTGCAGTCTAGGATGGTATATATCACTCTCGCCTTGAAAATCTTTACGATTAATTCGGTAAAGTTGACATCAAAAACGTGACGTCACACTTTCTACGTCTACGTCACGTTACATACAGCCATGCAGAAAGCGTTCAAGCGTGCGTTGAATCGTCGCGTGTCCTATTAAAATAGACAATTTGACAAGATTCCCCAAATTATTCGAAATCAAACTTTTCTAAAAAGACACTTCATTCTGGTCTCAAAAACTTAATTAATTTTAAAATTACTTGTTTTATTACGATTTTTGGTCGCATTGTAATTGAAAAAAGTAGTTTAATTGAGTTGACAAAATAGTGACGTCACTTGTAGTGCCATACAAAATCTATGGGAGTTTCGTTTTGACAGTTTTAAAAAGTACGTCATTTGATTGGTGGTGTCAACACGTCCATTCACGTCACATTCAAAACTTAGCGCCACAGTGTGTCGGCAGAATGAAGTGTTTTTGTGCTTTGATGACTTTGATGTGCGCTTGAAACGCTTTTTATTTGATGGTTAACGCTTCAACTAAATTATTTATTACCCGACTGCGCCTCAACAAGTTATGTTTTTCAAACATTTAAACCATTAATTTCTATTTTTTCCATACAGAAAAGGGTTACTGCATGCGAGGCGATCTGTGTCAGTGGGACCACGGCGCCGACCCTCTAGTATTAGAAGACGCGGCCCTCACGCGAGTGCTCACTGTACCGCCTTCTGTGCCTGGTAAGTCATCATCATTATCATCAATGCCAAACGGCACTATTCCCATCTCTCGTTCCCACCGTTGTAACTCCTGTGTAGCCAGGATCTACAGCTTGACCGCCAATAACCCAACCAGTGAAGGTCAAGTTTGTCCCGGGGGGAAGTTAACTGTCATTGGACACGCAACGAAATTAATCACCGTATTTGACAAAGCAAAGCCAGTGAGATCTAAGCGTCGACCTCTCGAGTTAGAGGGTGTGGCAGATGTTTAGATATCATTTTTATCTAGGACTCATCACCATTTATTTATTTGTATTTGTAATAGGTATACAAACAGTTTACAGTCTAGGCTTTATCGTAAAGAAAGAGTGTCATTATCATCATCATCATCATTTCAGCCACAGAACGTCCACTGCTGAACATAGGCCTCCCTCAATGATTTCCACATCGGCCAATTGGTTGCGGCTTGAATTCAGCGCCTTCCTGCTACCTTTATCAGGTCATCGGTTCACCTTGTGGGAGGACGTCACACTGAAATAGCCCGACGGATTAGCAAGCTTTAGTTCGTTTACGGATCTCCTCATTTCTGATTCGATCTCGTAAAGAAACACTGAGCATAGCCCTCTCCATAGTAGTCCAGTCATTTAAGCTTAAATTAGGTAAGAATCTCGGAATTAGAGATACCCAGCTGTAAGTCTGTAAATACTTGTATATTGACACCCTAAAAGTTGTCTCAAAACCTACATATGGTAGGGTGTAAGCAACTATTAAATTTCAAGGTCAACGGTCACAAAAATCGGTTTTTTGCGCTTTTTTTAGAAATATCTCATTTCCTATGGGTTTTTTGCTATTTGTATTTATTATCAATATTGTAGAATACTAAATTCTCTACAAATTTTGTTTAAAAACTTTTTTTATACGGTGAACCGTTTTCGAGATAGAGGGCGGAGAGCGCGCGGTCACTGCATCACTTCAGGTCTACTTAAGCGGTTTAGATTTTTCATACAAAAGGATTTTCCCGCTAATTCCTGTGGGAATTTCGGGAATTCCTTGTTGTAACTAAGCTTTGAGTTTACTAAGGTACCTACATGCCAAATTTCAAGCGTCTAACTTCCGTTAAGCGTTTAGATTTTTCATACAAAAGGATTTTCCCGCTAATTCCTGTTCCCGTGGGAATTCCTAAGTATACTATAACCTGCCCAGGTGTATGAAGAATAATTGTACCAAGTTTCGTTAAAATCCGTCGAGTAGTTTTTGTTTCTATAAGGAACATACAGACGGACAGACAGACAGACAAAAATTTTACTGATTGCATTTTTGGCATCAGTATCGATCACTAATCACCCCCTGATAGTTATTTTGAAAATATATTTCATGTATAGAATTCTGTCCGTCTGTATGTTCCTTATAGAAACAAAAACTACTCGACGGATTTTAACGAAACTTGGTACAATTATTCTTCATACACCTGGGCAGGTTATAGTATACTTAGGAATTCCCACGGGAACAGGAATTAGCGGGAAAATCCTTTTGTATGAAAAATCTAAACGCTTAACGGAAGTTAGACGCTTGAAATTTGGCATGTAGGTACCTTAGTAAACTCAAAGCTTAGTTACAACAAGGAATTCCCGAAATTCCCACAGGAATTAGCGGGAAAATCCTTTTGTATGAAAAATCTAAACCGCTTAAGTAGACCTGAAGTGATGCAGTGACCGCGCGCTCTCCGCCCTCTATCTCGAAAACGGTTCACCGTATAAAAAAAGTTTTTAAACAAAATTTGTAGAGAATTTAGTATTCTACAATATTGATAATAAATACAAATAGCAATAACCCACAGGAAATGAGATATTTCTAAAAAAAACTCAAAAAAACGATTTTTGTGACCGTTGACCTTGAAATTTAATAGTTGCTTACACCCTACCATATGTAGGTTTTGAGACAACTTTTAGGGTGTCAATATACACGTATTTACAGACTTACAGCTGGGTATCTCGAATTCCGAGGTGAACTTACTATAATGACTGGACTATAGTACGCTGTGCAATTTTGAGCTTCTGTATAAGACCTATAGTGAGGGGCCACGTTTCCTCGCCATAAAGGTTCAGCCAAACCAACGCGATCAGCGATGGCGATCAGACTTATATGCATTGATCGCCATCGCTGCACGCCGGCTGATAGCGTGTGATCGCGTTGGTTTGGCCGAAACTTAAGTCATCACTGGTAACACCACAGAATAATAATAAGTACTACGTATAGAAGTTTTACTTCGCGAAGGTATTTAAAAAAATGTATGCTCAATGTCATTAACAATATGGTGTAATTTAGCTTGTCTCAAGAGTCAAGCACCATTTTGTTGACAAACGTCAGTGATCGGCACTGCGCCGAAGCTATAGGGCTGACTTCGGTAAAATGATGTGACGTGAGGTGCCAAACTGCGGAAAATGGCGGAGGAAATATGTAGATGATTTAGCATTAATTATCATGAATAATATTAACTACTTATTTACCTCTCAGTGGTACTACGTACAGAAGTTTTACTTCGCGAAGGTATTTAAAAAAATGTATGCTCAATGTCATTAACAATATGGTGTAATTTAGCTTGTCTCAAGAGTCAAGCACCATTTTGTTGACAAACGTCAGTGATCGGCACTGCGCCGAAGCTATAGGGCTGACTTCGGTAAAATGATGTGACGTGAGGTGCCAAACTGCGGAAAATGGCGGAGGAAATATGTAGATGATTTAGCATTAATTATCATGAATAATATTAACTACTTATTTACCTCTCAGTGACTTGAGGCAACTTAAAAAAGTACATTCTGTGTTTTTATTAGTATTTGGGCAGTTAAATACTGCACAGTATTTAGTACACCATTTTCTTTATTTTCTTCCATCATACACAAGAATACGCGTGCGTGAGTCAATGTTCGCTCGTATGTGAGGCCTTGTCGAATAGTATCCTGTAGGTGGGCCATCGTGCGTGTTTTGTTTTCGATGTAAACTCGCGGAGATGAACAGGCCTGGTAACACACATGGGCTGTAGACTTTGGTCTTCAGGCACTCAGATATTCTGACTTACACTGAGGTAGGATAGATAATTATAAAACTGAATCGTTCCAGAATACAACCCGCTGACGCCGGACATCTGGATGGGCGGCGGCTTCGCGCCCTACCCGCACCACCCGCCGCACCCGCCGCACCCGCCCCGCGAGCTCATACCCATACCCAGGTGCGTATTGTCAGTGTACATGAGATACCTCGTATAGTTCCAAAATACTGAACCACAGTAGATATATGAGCTAAAGCAGTACGGAAACTTAGCCCTTTCGGCGAGTTAAATACCTACACTTCAACTGAGTGTTAGGGTTGGCACTCTTAATCTTTATAAAATTAATAAAGTTCTGGCTTACTTATTTTACGGGAGAGGACATCGTAATAGCGGTCCTCGAACTCCTCGTCACCGTCAAACACCTCCTGGCCTTGTAGAATGGCCTCGTCCGCCAGCTGGTTGTAGCGTGCGAACGCTTCTTCAACTGCCTTCCGTCGGTTCGTCAGTTCAAACACACTCGGGTCTGACTTTTTGTCCAAAAAAGTAACACATCGTGTTATAGCGGCCTTGCACTGCCCTTGTAAAAGCTTGGTTTTTTGGTTAGTGTCACCACAAACCTGGGTAGCCATAATTATCTACTGCAATCGGCAACTATGCCGGCGTTGGCCCTCGGGATAATTTTCCAGCAGCACACAAAAAAACCAATGTAAATGATGTATGGGTTTCGGCACCAAATTTATGTTGCTTATGACATAAATTATTTATTGTATTACTGAATAATGTATTAAAATATGTATAAAATGTATGAAATGAAACAACTTTCTTGAGCTGTCAAAGTAGAAGTTGATTTTATTTTGTTTAGAAGAAAAAGTAATAAAAAGTATACAAAACTCCTTGTTGGTTTCCAACATAAAAACGTTTATTTAGGCTTTTTAATTATCAAATACCTATTGGAATAAATTAATTGACTAAGTAGTTAACAAAAAAATAAAACGTTAATTAGGTTCTATAATGATCGAATACATAATCGAATAAATTGATTAAATACTATTAGAAGCCGGTAGAAGATATTCTATTCTCATAAATAAAATACCGGATACTTACTGATGCCGAGTTCAAGCAGCCGTATACTACGCAATACACTCGTGGCATGTTTTTTAAAAATACAGCGGACAGTGCATGCAATAAAATTATTATTAAAAACTCAACGCGCGCGACACTCGCGACGGATGGACTGCGAGGTTCGCTTAGAGCTCGTGTAAAGCGTGCGTCTGTGTGCGTGAGTCTGATTTCGAGCGTTTGTATGAAGCTTCCGTACTGTTGATTTATCTACTGTGACTGAACTGTCCTATCCATGACATTGACAGCGGGGCGCCACCGTCCATACCGGATCGCTGTTTCCGATTTTTGACATGTTGGAAACCATATAGTTGAACGATGGTAGCGCCCCCCTGTCGTTGAGTTTGGTGGGACAGGTCAGCATGGGTCAGCCATACAAAACTTTATAAGAGAGACAATAGACTATTTGACACCATCAATCAATTGACGTAATTTTTAAAACTGTCAAAACGAGACTCCCATAGATTTTGTATAGCATTATAAGGCTATGATGTCACTATTTTGTCAACTCTAACTACTTTTTTAAATTACAATACAATGCAACCAAAAGAGCCCTAAATCAAAAATCTGTAATATAAAATTAATTAAGTTTTTAAGACCAGAATGAAGTGTCTTTAAAAAGTTGTGCTTTAGAATTATTGTATTGGAAAATAGTGTCAAATAATCTACTTTTCATGTACTTGTTACCGTAGGCAATAAATTAGATTTTTTAAAATTATTAAAACATTTTGTTGGAGATGTGACTCTTAACGCTAGAAAAGTTATTAATTACATTATTAGTAGTTGATGTAGTTTAGTGCCCATCGTAGCATCATCTCATAGTATTCTCTAACCGTCTAACTCCAGTTTCGCGCCTAGGCTGCGTCACGAGGCGCCGCCGCGACACCCGCCTCCTCACAAGAAGCAGTTCGACTACAACCGGCTGGGTAAGTTACATCATAATAATAATACACAAATATTTATTACAAGGATCAGTAGCCTTATTCACGTAACAAAACTTCAACGATACCAAATCGCTGAGTTGCGATCCTATCGAGTAATCGTTAACGAATTATACGACCTGATTCCACCAGCCCCCTTCCATCATCGGGGAACCAGACGCAGGTTAGCGTACCATCCCTATATTGTTGACATTACACCAGCTCGCACTAAGCGTTTCGATGACTCTTTTATAATGCGAACAGCTAGGGACTGGAATTCGCTGTCTGCTGCTGTATTTCCTGAACATTATAACCCGGGCCTTTTCAAAGCGACAGTGAATAGGCACTTACAGGGCAGATATGTACCATCCTAGACTGCATCTCACTTAACACCAGGTGCGATTGCGGTCAAATACCTGCCTTGTCTTGCATAAAAAAAGACCTTTACAGAAATACTTCAAAACACTACGGAATCTTATAAAAGGCGCAAAGATAAACCGCCTTTAACCTCTCCTTAATCTAACCTAACCCACTGTCAGTTCACAATCTCACGCGTTACATTATAAACTGACGGGAATCCACAATTTCACGGTGACATTTATATATCTACAGGAGCGCCCCGACCGCCCTTACCCGCGAACGCAGCCAACTGTTCCCTTGAAGTGAAGAAGGTGCCGCGGGGTCTCAACGAGATAACGCATCTTAACAACCACTTCTGCAAGTTTGGCAAGATCGTTAACATACAGGTATGTTTGAGAAACTGTGGCGACATCTATCGATGCATCACTACAGGCTAGCAGAGTAAATACAAATGAGTAGGTCAACTTCATAGAAACGGACCGAGCGCGGTTTGTATGTGAGCGCGCCAATACTAAAAAAAAAAAATGCACGCACACACTGACAAAATTCGGCGCAACTTCCCGCTAATCCCCGCTAAATTTTGTCAGTGTGTGCGTGCGCGCCGCATACGTGTTGGCGCGCTCACATACAAACCGCGCCCGTGCGTTTCTATGAAGATGACCTACTCATTTGTATTTACTCTGAGGCTAGTTGGTAGTCACCAACCAACAGATGGCGCTGACACATGAGTTACTATGGTTTACACCACCGCGCTTGCAATCCTGCATCGTGGTGTCGGAGTTTTTTTAACCTGCCTAGTTTATCTAACTATTTATGAATTAGTATTAGTATTAGTAGTAGTAGTTTATCTACCTATTTATGAAAAATCGAGATAGTATCATCAACTGGGCCTTGATCACCCCGACACCCGCTCGGAAGGAAGCATTACATACACCTTAGCTTCCTTATTGTGTTTCATCATCGTATTTTATCTCATGAAACTTAAATCAACGTGTAATAATAAGTTAGTAGTTACAATAGCGTTTGGTTCAACTACAGAAGGACGCTACAGCTGTGCGTTAAAAACAAATAGGGACCACTTACACTTCCTGAGGATTATCGTAAAGGTGACTTAGGTACAAATATGCGAACAACCAGGCCTCCTCAACCCGTTTGGTCAGCGTGGGGAGTATAGACCAAATCCTCCATTTGCCTCTGGTAAATTAGAGGGTCGTGAAGGTCAATTGTGAAGGCCTTTGTCCGAAGTTATTGGCGCTGGTTGCAGGCCGATACCAATAAGCCAATCTGGATATCATTGGGGCAAGCCTATGTTCAGCAGTAAACGTTCTATGGCTGAAGTGATGATGATGATGAACGAATTGATTAATGAGGGCTATCGTTTTAGCGCTCACCAGTTAGCGCCACTGTAGAGTAAGGTCCTGTCACTTGCTAGTAGCGAAGACAGTTGCGCCAGCTGGTGAGCGCTAAAGTGGTAGGAGGACTATCGCATTTGCACTCATCAAGATGCCGCCACTGTAGAGTAAGGTCCTGTCAATCGCCAGGGGTGCCAACTGTTAGGTAAAAATCGAAAGCCCTCATTGGATGATTATTCTAGGTGTTGAGGGCGGCCTATATTCACCAGTAGACCTGTAGCTGAAGTGATGATGAACGTATTTATTAATGGAATGATTGTTCTAGGTGTGCTTCGAAGGTGACCCTGAGGCGGCTCTCATTACGTTCTCCACTCCTACAGAAGCCAACGTCGCTTTCAAGAGTACCGAGGCGGTTCTCAACAACCGATTCATCAAGGTCTTCTGGCATAAGCCTGAGGTTGGTATTGACAGTTCTCTGTTACATTCTATAGCTTAAATGAGTCAGTGCCAGGGAGTGGTGACATTGACATGACTTGACAGAACATACACATCTGGAAGCATATTTCAAGTATCACTGACTTTTGACATGACAAAAACACTTATGCCGCTCCCAGCGCTAGATCTAATCTTACTATTCTTTTATCCTACTTTCTTTCAATCTAACTGATCCGTATTGATATTATTATTACGAAAGCAACTCTGCCTATCTATTTTCTTTACGCTTAAACCACTAAACTTTCTTTGAAAGACTGAAATTTACGCAGACGAAGCTAATCCTATAAATAGGAAAGTTATGAAAGGTTACTTTCACGCAGAAAGTACTGAAAAGATTTTGTTGTAACCTTACAGTATTATTGTTTACTATTAATCAGAATCACACATTATAATGATAACTGCCAAATAAGTCGGCCTTTTTGTGGCAAACTCAATTGCTCACACACAGGTGAAACCGTAGATAGATACAGTTAGTCTTTAAAATCTATAAAATTGTGAATAACGATTAACCTAAGTACCTTACTCCGCAGAATAAGCAAGAAAACACAGCACCAGTGGGTCAACAGGCAGCCAAGCCTGCGGAACGTCAGAACAATCAGCACCCGATGTCGCACAACAAGGTGTTGATCAACCGCGACAACATTAAAGCGACGGCTGACATCAAACAGGCGAATGCTGAGAAGGTAAGTGTCTTATTCTTGATATTAGGTGACACTTGTGTTCTGTCTGACATTGACACTTGTGACAGATCATCTTAAGACAAGGCTGGTATTGAAGTTGTTAATATAGTTCCATAATACTGAACTGTCCTATGCATGACATTGACAGCGGGGCGCCACCGTCAATACCGGATCGCTGGTTCCGATTTTTGCCATGTTGGAAACCATATAGTTGAACGATGGTAGCGCCCCCCTGTCATTGAGTTTGGTGGGACAGTTCAGCGTGGGTCATTTATAACAGGCGACACGTCTTGTGGTCTGACATTGACAGCTGAGACAGATCTTATGACGAACCATGTCATGGCGATGGCTGATATCAGGCGAATGCTGAGAAGGTAAGGTTATATTTGTGGTCTGACGTTGTCAGTCCACCATGCATCTCACCTGATGCAAAGTGATGATCAAGCCCAAGGTGGAAGCGACCTTCACCCGAAATCCTCAACCACAGAGGAACTGCCTACCTGATGTTCAACTCTTAAACTTGATTTGATTAGAATTAACAACTTAAAATAATCTTTTCAGCAAGCAAAAGAAGCCACCAACGGCACAACAGAACCGAAGAAAGAGGTGGTGATGAAGCCAGTTGACAAGAGCAAACAGGTGATGGAGATGATGAAGCGCGCCCAGGCGCTGCTTGAGAAGCAATTGCAGCAACAGCTGTTGTTGATCGAGAAACTCGAGTCGGGTGAGTTGATGATGATCTGTTTTTATATGCAGAAAAAGGCAGGTATTTGACTTTGCTCCTGATGTGAAGTGAGATGCAGTCTAGGATTGCACATACCTACCTATTCACAGTCGCCTTGAAAATGCCCGGATTATAGTATTATAGTGTTCTGGAAAGACAGCAGCACGTTGTCAAGCTAAACATAGTCTTACCTCAGGCACTGACTCAGTTAAGCGCTAGACCTATAAATATTTAGGTGTCTGAAATCTAGTCAAAGTATAAGAGAGGTCCAAATAACAAATAAAATATAGACAAATAGATGTTCTTGACAACCCATAGCAGTTACTAAAATATCATCCAGATAAACAACTAACTTGACGTTCCATTCCAGGCAACATCAGCGATTCCCAGAAGGCTGCACTAATGGAGGCGATCAACTCCGCCCAAGAGGGCATCGAGAAGCTCAGAAACGAACTGTTTGCGTACAACGGAACCCTCAGACAGATGCAGGTAAATGTCATGGGTATTGTACAATATCCTGTAGGCAGATCGATGAAAGTTTTGTAACTTTTTTTTCTTTTACGGTATTGTCACGCAATTTTATTATTTCATTGTAATATTAATGATAATAAAAGCCTTAAATTAAGTTTTATTTGCAATTTAAATTGTTGATTTGAAATAAATAACAGTTTTGTTTGCGAATGTAATATAAATCAAAAGTATTTCTGAATCTTTTTCAAAATCAACTAATTAAAATCTTTTTTTAACTTCAAAAACCATCAAATCAGCTCTAAAAACCTACAAAACGATAAAAAAACTAAAAATATAACGTTTAAATGACTTCTTTATACAATTTAATTAATCATTTTTGAATAAATAAAGTAAAATACTGACAAAGTTACGAATGTCGGCAGGCGGATACAGTCGCCCGGTCGATGTCGCGTCTACAGCTACAGGTACCGGCGCGTGCGCATGCGTTTGGTTGCGATCGTGGCATGGACGGCACACTAGTAGCAATTATGTTGAACCAGGGATCGGCAACCTTTTGAGAGTCAAAGAAACATAAAATTAGCCAGTTTTTAAAGAAATACTAAACATTTTGCTGACGAGTGCAAACATACAGAATTTCATGTCACCAGCTCTAAGTTTTTATAGTAAAATAAGGAACTAAAGAACCACAACATTTACATTTCTGAACTGCTTTTGTCTATCTTCAGGGTGTAATAAAAGTGATAAAAAGAACGCACTTTTACTCACTCATAGAAAATACTAATAACTCCTTACTAAACTTAGAAAAAACTTCTTTTTTTTTTATCCGCAACAAAGAAGCTCTTGGCTTGTATCTCACCTGATGGTAAGTGATGATCAGGTCGAAGGTGGAAGTTTATTGAAAACACTAAAACGAAATAATGCCTTATGAGATGATGAGAGATCTTAATTCAGTTTAACTTATGGTTCATAATAATCGCCACTATTGTACGTCAATTAAATGTCATAGCACGGTTTTGAGTCATGAATGCGGCATTAAAATCCACGATAATATATCCTCATAAGTAACTTACTTATACCAACACATTTCTCGATATATTCTAAACTTACTGTCAGTGATATTACGGTTCAAACTCATGAAATCATTTTATGGGACATAATAATCGGTTAAATTAAAGAATAATGTAATGTGATTGAAATATTGACTGTCATTAATTCATTTTGGTGTTAAAAAATCATTCGAAACATGACATGCCATTTTCGCCCTTACAATTCAGTTTTTTCACATATTTAAGGTAATCATTGAATCATTTTTTTTTTAATCTTTATTGTTTATAGGGGGTTTTGTCAAAGTGACTATGTCACCCCCGTAATCACCTTCTTAGAATCTATTACAATAATTATGGTTATGTGCCTAATTCAACTATTTCTTCCACATAGGGAAGTTAACAATTTGCATAATCATTTGATAATACCGTAAGACGGTGGAGACTAAATGACCTGATGATGATAAATCGGTAAAGCAATCAACGGACATAAATAGATAAATATAATTTATACTAGCTTTCCGCCCGCGATTTCGCCCGCGTAGAATATTGTCTGTCACAGAAAAACTTTATCGCGCGCGTTCCTGTTTCAAAAACCGGGATAAAAACTATCCTATGTCCTTTCCCGAGACTCAAACTATATCTATACCAAATTTCATCAAAATCGGTTCATTGGTTTAGGCGTGAAAGCGAGACAGACAGACAGAGTTACTTTCGCATTTGTAATATTTGTATAGATAGTATGGATTTTACCCTGATATTTCTATAGACAAAAGCTATAAACTATACTAATATTTCATGCAAAAACCAATATTTATCACGTAGAAACCCGAACCACTAGGGATAGAAATTATAAAATAAAAAATTAAATAGTAGTGTTATTTGTTTTTATTTTGTGACTTATAAGTAGTTTAGTTTTTTCGTTTGTTTATGTTATGCATGTCTATGGTTTTACGTGCCACTTTCTTTCTTCATATTTAAACCCTTTTCTTTGCACTGTTTTAAGTGGTTTTGCTTTTCATTTACAAATTTTATTAAAAAACCTTTTTTCTTAAATGAAAATAGCAAAATTTATCCAGTATTAGCGGCCGCTCGCGACTTCGTACGCGTGGATCCCGTTTTACCCCCTTAGGGGTTGAATTTTGTAAAATCCCGTCTTAGTGAACACCTACATTCTAAAAGGTACCATGCAAAATTTGAGACTCCTAGCACTTGTAGTTTCTGAGATTTCGTGATGAGTGAGTGAGTGAGTCAATCAGTGACCTTACGCTTCTATAGATATAGATAGATTTTTTCAAAGACAGATTTCTTAGGGGATACGTGCAAACTGTAGGGTTCCGTACCCAAAAGGACTTTATTAAATCAATTCTAAAGGATATTTTTTCAATAAAAACACGTCATTTTGATTCAGTATTGCATAATATAGTAATGTCGACCATTCATGATAGTTGTGCATACCACGCATGCGTACTACCGTCTTTTGTCCTTTTCTTTCACCGTATAAAATATGCCCATCTCATTCTTCCATTAGCCGTAAAATGTAAATAGCTACACAAATATTTATTCAAACATTTTATATGTAAAATAGTAAAATTGTAAATATAAAATAAGATATTGTAAAGTAAATAATATTTAGTAATTTTATAATAGTATCCCATTAACGCTTGGGCAATAAAAATATTCATATTGTAATTTGATTAATAGGCTATTTGATAGGATTTTTTAACAGAAAACTCAATATTTGTCCCTCAATCCAATTTTTCGCGTTTGAAAAAAAAGGAATCGCAAAAAAAAAGACGGGAAATATCTTCGCGACTCGCTCACCGCGATGAATAAAATATTTATAGTTCTTGCCACTCACGAAGGCGAGTGAGCTTTACTTGTGTGTGTACGTGTACAGTCGCGGAATGAAAAGGTTCGTCAGTTTTCAAATTGATTCCTTCAACGAATCGCGAGCACATATTACCTTTTGAAACTATGTTACAGAATAATCTCGAGTTAGACAAAATAATCTTTAACTGTTAGTCAGTAAAGTTCAAAATTATTCAGATTAAAGTTGTTTGACATTTATCTAGTCCAGAAGATTTTTATGATTGATAAACTAAAACCTTCTTGTTGGTTCAACCTGCCATTATTATTTCTATTAAATAAAAAAAATACATTTTGTAACATTGCACTGATGGGACAGAAAAATAAGCAAAGCCTTCTTCGTTAGCTATTTTTTTTTCTTCGTTAGCAAACGTCACATTTATTTAAATGTTAGCAGCACTGTTTCTTGCACTGGTATGTTGGCAGGTTTGACTCTTACAGTACCTAGTGCAAGCGAAAACCGACACTAAGGTGACGAACCTTTTCATTCCGCGACTGTACATACACATAACGATAGTGTAATGTCTATCAAAACTTTTTGAAAACGAACAGTAGCGAGCCACCACACACATGTAAAGCTCACTCGCCTTCGTGAATTGCAACAACTATTTAGATCGTTTCATCCACGAAGACGCGCCCCACCAATGATTTGTCTCGGTCGCGCGGGGTGCGGGGAGTTTGATCCGAGCAATCCGAGCGCCATTATTGTAGCGTGCGTGTGCACTCATGGATGATTTAGCGTGTACCGATAACACTCAAACATTAGCGGAAGAATGGTGGGGCGCGTCTTCGTGGATGAAACGATCTATACAAGGGCCGGATCCCTCGGTTTAAAAAAAAATCCTCTCTACAAAACACTCAAATAGCCTATTCTTCTAGTAGATTCATAAAACATACTCATTTGTATTTTGTGGTGATGTGTCTGTAATATGTTAAACTGTGCTTAATGTTGGTTTGTATATTGATACTAAACAAATTATATGCCTACACTAAAAAGTCTAAAAACTGTATATTTTATGTTGTTTTGGTTATACACAATAATATGTAGTAATTATTTTTTATTAAATAAATGTAAATAAACTTCCATACGCTTATATGAAATTAATGTTATTCAATTATTATTATTACGGTAATTTTTTTCAAAATTTATTTTTGACAAACTCCAAAACATCAAGCTAAATGGAATCTTACAGCAATAGTTATAACAAAAATATAAAACACAAACCTACTATAAAAAAATCCTTTATTTACCACAAGTAATATAGAGGGACCAAGTCCTGGCGGTCTTCCCAGTCTGGTCACTACTAAGGCAAAATATCCGGCTCGAAGGACCTTTTTCTATAACTAGTGACAGTGGAAAGTACTAACGTAGTCCTTTAAAACACATTTTTTAAAAAAATATTATAACAATTTATTTGTGTTTCAACAGGCAAACGCCAAGAAACCTAAGACAAGGCAGGAAGCGGAGAAAGAGATTTTGGACGCCGAATTGGACATGTTTACTAAGCAACAGGTGAGATATTAACTATTTATATGGTAGTGGGAATATACTTCCCGCCATGTTTTGAACTTCATTCCCTTATCTTAAGGCCCAAAAACAATGAAAAACTTTAACTTGTTATGCTCGTTAAAGGCATTATTTCATTTTCATTTCATTATTTCAGTATTTTCATGTCTTTCTGTTCCTAGTTCGTTGGTTCGTTTAAACCAATAAACGTTCACGACGATTTTTAAATAGACGAGGACTAAGTTCTCGGTGGACTGACGACCTCGCGGTCGGTGAAAGGTCGCGGGAAGCACATGGATGAGGGTAGCGTAGGACCGTCCGTTTTGGAAATCTTTGGGGTAGACCTTTGTCCAGCAGTGGACGTTATTTGGCCGAAACGAACGAACGAATTACGAGAAATTTTATTAATTATCGTGATACTTTTTTTTTAATGTATTAGCAATTTGTTTTGAACAAATTACTAATAGTCCCGTTAGCCCCTCGTGTTAAGCTAAATAAGCTTGTGTTACGAGTGGGCTCACCACAATAGTCGAGCGGCAGTGGGATTCGAACCCGCGTTCGTCGGATCTCGAGTCCGACCCATTCACCGTTCGGCTATCGTGGCTATAAATGATTAGTTTTTAATGTATTATTTTTCGCAGGAGGGGCAAGATGTGACAGAGCTGGCCAAGAAAGTTGCGGACTTGAGGCGGCAGATGGCGATACAGTTTCCCCCGCATCCTGGGATGAGGAGACCACATTCCAGGTAACATACCGTGTTCTAGGGCAGTGGTTCCCAAAGTTGTCTGGGCTACGACTCATCTAATACAAAGTTCTCAAACTCGGGACCCAACTATAGGTTCCGCCCGCTGTCCAGCGGTTGGATCGGTAGGGTAGTCAGTCTACAGACAGGGCCCACTCAATGTTTGCTCGCGACCCACCGTCGCGACCCATAGTTTGGGAAACCCTGTTCTAGGGTTCGATGCCCAGAGGGTGCCAATGAAATCCTCAAAAATTTTAACCTAAAAATTTAGTTACCTACTTAACAAATTAATACGTGTAATCAGCCTTAAGCCGAAGATTTTCTGACATGCCATTCGGATTCCATTATTTGCACATCTCCACTCCGCTCCGCTTCGGTGGAAATGGATCGAGCGGAGAGGTGTCAGGCTGACTTGTTTTTCTATAGAATTTAACAGCGGTGGCGGCGCGGTGCGGAAAAGAGCCGCTCCGCTCTTTTCCTAGATAGCATTAGACTGACAGCTGACAGCTACGCACAGCTCACACATTTCTCGTCTCCGCACCGCTCCGCTCTTCTCCGCTCCGCTTTGGTGGAAATAGCCTGCCAGATTCGCAACACAGCTGTCATCTCCGCACCACTCCGCCTTGGCGGAAGTTGGGCCTTAGATTTTGTGCGTTGGCACTTGTGAACCTCAAAAAAAGGTGCTCATAACACCTCCTTATCTTTTGGGCCCTACCAGCGCTTCGAGACAAACATATGGCAAGTGCTGAGAAGAAACGCCGCCGGAACAAACTCAGTCACCACTAGTTGCCAGTCATTATAAAAAAGAAAGTACAAATAGCCAAATTCAGTATGTGCAGACTGAACTGACTTCAGTAAATTGAATGTACCTACATACTTTATTTCGAGAGCATTTTTTGTACTTTTGTAATGTGATATAGCCCTATTGGCTGAACAAAAGTTTTAATAATTGAATTTTGTTTTTCCAAGCTACCGTATTGTGAAGAGAAAACTTAGGTGAGATAGTTTTATAAGTTAGTGTAGGATGAATAACATCTAATTCGTTTTGATTTATGTTCTACAAAGGTTTTTTTTTCATCTTATTAAGATCTTGTTCTAAAATTAAGTTTTAAATGTTAAACAATTTAGCTTTACGGAGCACCATGTGCTGTTAAACAATGTAGTGCTCAAAAAGTCTCCTTTTTATTGGTTGTTTTGGCTATAAGCCATTATAAAAATTAACCATCACTAAAATGAGCCACAATGACAATGAGCCATTATGAAATTAGCCATAACAAAACAGAGCCTTTTAAAAAACGAGTCGTAACAAAAACGAGCCATTTTAAAATAAACCATATCAAAAACGAGCCAGTTCAAATATGAGCCATAATGAAAAGGAGCCACAAGAAAGACGAGCCATTATAAATATGAGCCATAACAAAACGAGCCATAAAATTTAATTTACCACCACAGGGGCGGGCGATTCAACACTGCTTCCCGTTTCGTGCGCGGCGCAGGCAAGGCTTTCAGCGCTAACCAATCTGTGGACCACAGACCAAGAGCGCTGCTGATATCCGGATTTGAAGCAGACGAGCAGAGCGCAGTTATACAGCACTTTATGGTGAGTGACATGAGAATATACAGTCCACCGACAGATATAGGCTTCCAGTGCGCGTTTACAGCTTTGGAATTGGAGGTGAGATAGCCAGTTCCCTTGTGGTTGAAGCTCGCTTCCACTTTTGGCTCTACAGCAGTCCATTGACAGACGTAGGCCTCAAATTGTTTCAGCTGAAAGACTTTCACTGCTGGACGAATGCCTCACGAAGTTTCTACAATGACCGGTCCTGCTGCCCGCATCCTTGCGCTGCCCGCGAAGTTGGTTAGATCGTCAGTCCACCGAGTGGGAGGCCTGCCCACACTACGTCGTCCATGGTTGACACTCGAGAACTTTAATTGGCTCAACGACCATCAGTTCACCAATACGCGCTAGTAATAGCTAGTTGGGTCAAGAGGTTTCGTGAGGAAATTTCGAAATTAAAACTGTCACGTTTTGGAACTTGTCTAACCAAACCCACAGTGACTGGATGGGAGAAAAAAGTCATTGTGCGTAGCCTATGCGCAGACCATCAATTTTTCGTCGGCCGATAGTTTAGTCGGGCAGTTGATCAGTATGGGCATGTATGGAAGTGCGCACACTACGCCGATTCGATTTGGCCGATTCTTCATACAATTTAAAATCGGACACAACTATCGGCCAACTAAAAATCGATGGTCTGCGCCTAGTCTTAATGTCATCTACCCAATTTTTGTCCCCATATTCATTGATTATTTTGTTACAGCAATACGGCGAGGTAGTCAGCAAAGAAGTGAATCTAGCGGTTCCCGAGCTGGTCATACAGTATAAAGCGAGAGCACACGCCGAGCTCGCAGCCGCCGCTGGCAAACATTACAACGACCGGACGCTGTCGGTGAGTGGATAACTTTTTTTTTAAAATAAAACCGACTTCAAATGCGTGAACACAAATACCTATTCAACAAAAAAATAATCGTTCAAATTGGTTCATAATTAATCGGCGGAGATATTGCGTATAAAAAAGTTCATCCCCAATTTTCCAACCTTGGGGGTGAAATATTTTCTTCAAATTCGCATGAAACCACCCTTTTGATAATACCTATTCAACAAAAAAATAATCGTTCAAATTGGTTTATAATCGGCGGAGATATTGCGTATAAAAAAGTTCTTCCCCAATTTTCCACCCTTGGGGGTTGTTTTTTTTATTATTAAATTTAAATGGGACCACCCTTGAGGTATTACCTATACGCCGAAAAAAGATTTGTTCAAATCGGTTCATAATTGGCGGAGTTATCGCGTAACAAACATAGAAAAAAAAAACATACGGGTCGAATTGAGAACCTCCTCCTTTTTTTGAAGATGGTTGAAAATAATGAAAGAAAGAAATAAACGATTATTTTTATTATTAGCCCGCGATCCACGCGTACGAAGTATACGCGTGGATCCTGTTTTACCCCCTAAGGGGCTGAATTTTGCAAAGTCCCGTCTTAGTGAGCACCTACGTTTTAAAAGAAACCCCCAAGCAAAATTTGAGACTCCTAGCACTTGTAGTTTCTGAGATTTCGTGACGAGTGAGTCAGTCAGTGACCTTTCGCCTATTTCCTATTAAAGAGAGAGATATAAATTATGAAGAGACTAGCTGACTAGGCGAACTTCGCACCACTACAACTTCGTGGCTATGGCAGAATAACAGGGTTTGTGGGTCTCCTGCAATCACTAAGTCATAGAGCTTTTTGTCTCATACCAGTGTTATACACTGTGATAAATTATTGTAAAAACCTTTTTGAGACAAGTAAACATTTTCTATCTATCTACCACCATTTTTTTTCTGTTGCACCTACCGTTTTCTTACTTTTCAAGCCTTCCCTGGACTACCACAAACATTTTTAAACCAAATCAGCCAAGTCGGTCCAACCGTTCTGGACTTTTGGCGAGATAAATGAACAGCACTTGATTTTATATGTGATAGGAGAGATTTTTTAAACTTTTTTTTAACAATAGTTAGCAATAAATATATACAGGGTGGAATTTTGTAATGCCACCTCCAGGGAAAGTACTCTTAATACTGTAGATAGAAAATTTTACTGAAAGAAAACATTCCTTTATTTTTGAAAAGAAAAAGAACTGCATTCATAGATTTTCGAAAAAATTTCAAAAATTCACTACCATACCATACAATTTTCTGCACATAATTAAAGTAATGTAAGATTTCATGGTTTTCCTTTCATTTGATTTATCAAGTTTTTTAGAGATATTTCATCCTTATACTTAACCCTAACGATCGATGCAATAAAAAAACGCGGTGTAATTTTTAACAGATTTTAGTTGGTTCGATTCCCGGGTGTGGCAAGCAAATTTTTGGAAATCTTTGAATTTCAATTTCAATTTATTTATTCCAAAAACAAAATACATTGTATAGGAAAATTAGACATTAAAATTCACACAATCTGCAATTCAATTAAAATAAAATTAATCTAATTTAACCCTAAAATTTCATTTCACATACTAGAATTAATATAAATGTCAGATTAAATAAATAAATAAAATTATTACACAATACATAATGTCAAAATTAATTAAAATATAATTAAAATAGAATAAAATAAATCCAATCTAACCCTAAAATTGCATTTCATATACTAAAGTCAATTGGTATTTATATGCGGTTCTATTTCTTTTAAAAAATAAAGGAATGTTTTCTTTGAGTAAAATTTTCTACCTACAATATTAAGAGTACTTTCCCTCCAGGTGGCATTACAAAATTCCACCCGGTATAAAAAAAAAACAAAATTTGTCGAGTCTTTCATTCACTTGAACATTGTTCTAAACCAACGTCTTCTCTCAGATAACGTGGGTGGCCAACACGAAGGCGTATCTTGGCGGCATGGCGGAGACCAGACCTGCGGTTAACGGAGAGGCCAGCGAGGAGAATAAGGAGCCCGAGGTGAGCGAGAGAGATAGAAAGAGAGAGAGTGAGAGAGATCAAACACCTGCTGTAGGCGCGCGAGTTCATGTCCATCGGGGCCTTACTTACTTTGGGGCCGTTCAAGTATTACGTAAGCAGATTTCTTACCATTTTTTACCCCCTCGCCCCCCTTGTCATCAAAAGTAAGCAAAGCACTTACCCCCTCCCCCTATGCTTACGTAAACATTTTTAGTTATAAATGTTTTTTTATATTGTCATTTTTAAAATAGGAAAATTCATGAAAATATTATTTTCAACTGATACACATCATAGAGTAAGGAACAAAAAAATATAATCAGAAATAAAGAACATAAGAAACATAATTGCATCAATTATGCATCAACATAAACACAAATGATAACTTTCAATGCTTACAATACGCTTAGTATCCAAACAAAACACGAGCGCGGGAGGCCGGCCTCGCGTATAATAATATTATATGCGGACTACGACTCTCAATTTGCAATGGGCAGTGTCGGCACGAGAGTTAATTATTAGACAACTGAATAGCGCACGGTAATTTCCCTAATGTGCGGTAATTCCCCTAATCAGTTCTCAAAGCGAGTGCCTACGCATATGTATTATTTGCGGAAATCCCCGAAAAAACGTAAATAACTAACGATGACGTAATCATCATCTAGACCCCCCTACCCCCCATGTCATCCAAAATAAGCAAAACAGAGAGCCCCCCACCCCCCCTTGGTGCTTACGTAATACTTGAACGGCCCCTTACTTATTTACTTATACCACAGAATAATAATAAGTACTACGTACAGAAGTTTTACTTCGCGAAGGTATTTAAGAAAATGTATGCTCAATGTCATTATAATATGGTGTAATTTAGCCTGTCTCAAGAGTCAAGCACCATTTTGTTGACAAACGTCAGTGATCGGCACTGCGCCGAAGCTATAGGGCTGACTTCGGTAAAATGATGTGACGTGAGGTGCCAAACTGCGGAAAATGGCGGAGGAAATACATGATTTAGCATGAATTATCATGAATAATATTAACTACTTATTTACCTCTCAGTGTTTTGAGGCAACTTAAAAAATTACATTCTGTGTTTTTATTATTATTTAGGCAGTTAAATACTGCACAGTATTTAGTACACCATTTTCTTTATTTTCTTCCATCATACACAAGAATACGCGTGCGTGAGTCAATGTTCGCTCGTATGTGAGGCCTTGTCGAATAGTATCCTGTAGGTGGGCCATCGTGCGTGTTTTGTTTTCGATGTAAACTCGCGGAGATGAACAGGCCTGCTTATACTTATAAGTTGCAAAAAATATGGAATAAGTAGATACCGTTGACCTACTTAATTGGTAATAATTATCGATATCGACATTAGCATAATTAGTTAGGTAACAGCACTACCGCATTCCTCAGGATGGACATGAACTTGCGCGCCTACCGTAGTTAGCCTACGAATTGAAAGACCTTTTGGATATCAAGAACTTTACTACTTTACTATCAATAACTCAAAAGTGATATTGACTAACGCGCTTGGTCAAAACCACTTTTTTTGACTGAAAAAAACAGTCAAAAGTGATATTGACCAAGGGCATCAGTCAAAACCACTTGACTGATTTTTGCAGTCAAAAGTGGTTTTGACCGATTATGAGTTTTGACTGTAACACATGCACTAAATTGACTTGTGACGTTTTAACACTTCTTTTGTATATGTCAACGTGAAATCGTGAACTCTGTCGGTTTATAATATAACGCATTAGATTGTAAACTAACAGTGGGTTAGGTTAGGTTAGATTGTAATTTAACTACGTCAGATTATAATCTGACGGCATTCACAATTTTACGGTGACATATACATATTGACTAATTGACTCCGTGACGTTTGGTCATTTTAAATTAATATTTCATCCACCATATAATCAATTATTCCACGACGTCCATACTAAACGCTCTCCCCCCTCAGACATCTCAAGAAATAACCGAGGACACGTTACTGCGGTTCGACGAGGAGGAAGAGGACGATGCGGAAGAAGATAGATCCTGGAGACGTTGACGACCCGCGGGACGCTAGCTGCGACACGACCCCGAAACGACCTCGAAACGATCTCGAAGCGATCTCGAAACGATGTCGGAACGATCTCGAAGCGATGTCGGAACGATCTCGAAACGATGTCGGAACGATCTCGAAACGATGTCGGAACGATCTCGAAACGATGTCGGAACGATCTCGAAGCGATGTCGGAACGATCTCGAAGCGATATCGAAACGATATTGCAGCGATGTCGTTGCGAGATTGTAACGATAGTCGATATCGGTCGCTGTAGGATTGTTAGTGTAGTGTCGGTCGTGTATAAGGCTAGCGATTGTTAGATATAAAAGGGCTGAAGTGAAATGTGAATGTTTTTAGTGTATTTTACAGCGTTATAAATTAAAACAATGTTGCCTTGCTTGCTAGTTCATAAACATATTAATATACAAAAAAAAACTATTAGACTTGACCTTTCTGAAAAACTGTTTATTTCTTACTAAAATCATAATATTTCATTTCATTATAACTTTATTTAATGGTTTCCGTTCGTTAATATACGAAAATATTTCATAATCTCACTTCAGTACTTCGAATATAAAAAATATGATGTCAATCGAGAATTTGTATCTGTACTAAAAATGCCAATATTCGTGTATCGTTTTTAATATTATTTAAAGAAAATTATAATAAGGAAATAATATTTAATAATTTATCGAAAATATGGTTTTCACTAAAAAAAATCGATTGCCTCAGTTGAGACTCGAACGCACGTACTTTCGCTTGCGGCCTACTCTAACCACTAAGCTATGGTGACCATAATTATAATCATATCCTAAAAATAAGTTATTATAAGAATAATAATAATAGATATTATTTCTCGATTGGTATTTTATTATTTTAAACAAACTTATTGTTCAAACTTGTTACATTATTGGAGAAATATAGTGAAAGAGCTTTAGATTTAGGTATTCGTACGCCACAGAGTTGCGACACGACTAATTTATCACCAAAGTTAAGAAAAGTTTGAAAAACTTGCATATTTTGCGCAATAAAAAAGTCGTCGGTCGCAACTCTAGCGTGCACAACCAAACGCATTCTTCGCTTATGAGATTTACATATAAAAATCGGCAATAATATACAATTCGGTAGTCGGTACAACATAGATGCGTTTAGTCGCAGTATAGAAATAGTTGTGAATTTAAGAAAGGAGTCGTACGATTTAGGAATTTAATTTGATTCTACGATCATTGACAAGTTTTTTAAATTGAATTTATTACGATGTCTATAATATACTGGGTATTTTTAATACCATTTACCAATAAATTCAATATGGGAGTAATTTATTCATTACTAGCTTTCCGCCCGCGGCTTTGCCCGCGTGGAATTTTGTCTGTCATAGAAAAACTTTATCGAGCGCGTCCCTGTTTCAAAAACCGGGATAAAAACTATACTATGTCCTTTCCCGGGACTCAAACTATCTCTATACCAAATCGGTTCAGTGGTTTAAGCGTGAAAGTGAAACAGACAGACAGAGTTACTTTCGTATTTATAATATTAGTATAGATTAGTCAATTTACATTGGCGACTACTTCTACGCGCCGTCAAAAGATGGCGTTATCTACATAATACAACGCGGTATCGCAAGAAATAGGTTTCTTTTAGAACCTCTAGCGTGAAATCCAGTAGAAAACTTGCAATGATCGTAGTATCTTATTAGTATCGTTTTTAGAGAGTTACTCGGTTATTGTTCAACATTTGAATGGTTTTAAAATCTTAATTATTTATTTTAATTAATTAAAGGGCAAGACATTTCATTAACACCAGTACTTAACTAACAGCTTACTAAAGACTTATTAATTAACAATAACAATAGGTGTAATAGTAAGTCTAAACAAAACTAATGGAACTGATTTTTAAAGCTAACATCACATCAACGTTGTACTTATTTAAACAACTTAATTTATTTGTGGTCAGGAAGTAAGAAATCTTAAATATCAAAAAGATTGCTACCGATCGCTGCTTGCGCGTTGACAGCGCCCCTAGTACCACAATAGACAACAATTCGAAATCACAACTTTTTAAAAAGACACCATTCTGGTCTAAAAAACTTATTTTAAATTGCCTGTAAATTAAGATTTGTGGTTGCATTGTAATTGAAAAAAGTAGTGAGTTGACAAAATAGTGACATCACAGGCTAGTATTGCCATACAAAATCTATGGGAGAGTCGTTTTGACAGTTTGAAAAAGTACGTCAATTGATTGGTAGTGTCAAACGTCTATTATGGTGAACCCACTCGAAACAAGCATTAAACTTACCACGAGGGGTTAATGGCACTATTATTAATTGTAAGTTACTTACAATATTTCTAGTGAGATTTCGACGAAATACCATAAAATGTTGAACAATAAACGATGCAACTCTCGTCCTTTACAAATTTTTATTAGTAGCTCGTATCGTATCGTACTTGTAAATAATTTATATTTGTAAATAAAATTTCTCTTTCGCGCGATAGCCATATCTTTCGTTTTTTTAAATTAATGAAATTATCGTTTTTCTTGGGTTTGTATCGGGTCGCCATAGAGATGCGGACCGCGACTGAAATGAGATTCATTGTTGAGTAGATAGCTAGAAGTTGTTTCTAAAAGTTTCATCAATTTATTATGACGTTTGTTGTGAAACAAGCATGTCATAAGAGGGCTCATAAAGTATGAAACCTAAACTGTTTTTAAGCTTACACGACAGATGTCGCTGTTTTAAAACTACTTAACGCTAATTCAGTAAACACTGTTAGGTTATTCTTTGTTATCAATTTAGAATATGATTTTGAATGATGCTCAAAATTCGACTCGAATTCAAGGAATGTCTGTGATTGGCTGAATCATATTTCTGCCAAAATACAATTTTTCTTGATTCATGCATAAAGTATAGTTTTATTATACGAGCTAACAATAAACAGTCAAATAAAATACTGCAATTTACTAATCAACACTTTTTCATAAACTATAAAAAAACATACTTGCAAAAAAATCGCATCGTCACGCAATCTTCATTTTTGCGGCGGCCCCATACAAGTATCGACCGTTTTACTAGATTTAGTGATGCATTATTGCATTTTAGGATTATTATTTTGTTGTGGCCCGAGGCTTACGTTGTAATTTTACGAGGGGTTATTTTTTTATTATTAATAAATAGTTTTAGGGTTTTTTCGATGTATATTTTGGACAGACGTAGTCTTGTTTATAAATAATCGAATGGTACAAAATGTATCTAAAATACCAATATAAAATGTGACTTGGAACTACAGGTCTCTAGTACGGACGACGGCACGTCAACGTAACCACTGTGGGTTCTTGTGCAGTTGTAATAGGGGCGAGTTTGCAACAAAAATGGGTAACCTGATGTGCTGTCGTGTGTACATAACTTAGTCAGTGCCGGAACTATGAGAGCGGCACGGGAGGGGCGATGACGTGACAGCATACAAGCAGAGTAAATACAAATGAGTAGGTCATCTTCATAGAAACGCACCGAGCGCGGTTTTTGTATGTGAGCGCGCCAATACGTATGCGGCGCGCACGCACACACTGACAAAATTTAGCGGGGATTAGCGGGGAGTTGCACCGGTCAGTGTGTGCGTGCGCGCCGCATACGTATTTTTAAATAACTTGAAAAATGGAATTGCCTTTAAAGGTGCAGAGAAGAACAGTCGCCGGGCAAACGATGTCGTGGATTCTATTCCCACCGTAGGCAGCTCGATTTTTTCAAGTTATTTAAAATTCGTTCAATCATAGTTTTGACCTCAGTCTTACAATACGACTATAAACATTAGCTTCCCCGACAAACTTTACTTGCATTGATCCAACTAACAATTAGCAAAACCACATGCAGTTTTATATGCATCAAGTGTTATTCATTTTCATGTAGGTATTGTGGAAAGAAAAACTAACGGACTATTTTATTAGAGCTTCATTCAGAATTGATCCCTGCATCCACTCAAACAGAATAAGTCCAGTGTGGAACGATGTTGAATTACTCTCACGTAACACGAGGTGGCGCTGTTGTCCTAGTCCGGGCCAATCTGATTATATCCAGTCACCAGCACTTCAGACGAAAAATAAACCCTATCACAACTAGATAAGAACTAGACTGTATTTAGCTTGATATGCCTCTGTACTTTTGATTAAGTTTAGCGTTTCATTTACGATTTTCTGCACCTAGGTCTGAGCTGAAACTTGCTCAGGAATTGAACAGATTATGTTGCGAGTATACTAACTCCCGTATTCACAAACGATGCTTGCTTATGTGAAGCAGCAAATCGAACGCACAGAGTTGAATAGAGCTCTGTGATTATAAAATTATCACTTCACGGGATTTTACAACAAAACTTTTATAACGGTAAATAAGATAATGTTTACCCTCCCGACGCGGCGACGTTTCAACTCGGTTGCACGAGTCATGATCTCTGTGATTGGCTTGTGTGTGCCTGTGCGTCCACGCGCACTGTGAGATCTCATAGTAATGTGTGTAATAATACTCATGTTGGAAATACATATTACGTTTTAGCTACCTTTTAAAGGAATAATGTTGCTCACTCGATAAAAACTTTGAGTGACTGTATTCCGCGTGGGCTGAAGTCGACACCGTGGGTGGAGGATATTTTGTCAATATATTTTTTATTCGTTACACAGTTTAGTACCTATTAATTCTATTTATAGTTCAGAATAGTACTTACCTAGGCTATATTTAGTAGGCTTAGCAAAAAAGGTTGTAATAAGATTTACCCCCCGGTTTCTGAATTAAGAATTTTGGCTTAAACGTGCTCAAGGATGAATTTAATGAAAAGTAGAATCTCAATTTTGAAACCGAGCCTTAGGAAGACGGGACTTTTCCCTTCTCGTTCCTATCGCTGTGTAGCCAGGATCTACAGCTTGAACACCATTAAAAACCCAGCCGAGCTAGAATGCGCACCATCATAAAATCTTATCTACGATTTTAAACGACAAATGTATGGGCTTATCAAGTAAAATAGATAAAAAGGCGCGATAAAAAACTAATCGCGGCGCGTATCCTAGGCCTACAGAGCCTTAGTAAGCAACTTTTTATCGATATTAATGTGTGCCACATCACGGGCAAAGACTAGTTATTCCATAATGCAGTCCTGTCACCTGCGATAGGCAGAAAAAATGCTCGCCGTAAAGCCGCGTCACAACGCGTGACAAAAAGCCACACGTCATGACGTCACAGCGCGTGACAAACGAGCCACACGCCGCTAATGTGCAGAAAAATAATAACGTGTCTATGTACGGACGCGCATCGAGCTTTATTATGTGTATTGTGTAGACGTGAAAGAGCTATGTTGGATAAAAATCTACAGTTTATATTCTAGCGATTGTAAATTACGAATCTAGTGTAGAAGAAAATTATTATGTCACTATGGGTAGTGAGTTAACCAATAATATTTTGCAAAACATTTCTTTCCTGATCACGTGTATTGTAAAGAGTCCTGAAAACCTTCTGATTGCTACTCTACACATTTCTAGCCGCAAACTTAGGTACTTAGTTAGTTCCGATTTAAACAAGTGTTGATCATAAAATATGTGGAGTAAGAGATTGAATTATGAATATTTATTTATTTTATTATTTTTTATTTATTTATAGAAAACAACAGCGATACATTGAAAATATTAGTTATAATATTTAGACTGATAGTATAGCCAATGACAGGTTTCCCTCTTTGTAAAAGTACCTACACTGTTGTTGGAAAAAATATGAATAAAGGATGTTAAATAAATAATAACAATAAAAACTCACAAAGAAGCAATTCATTGCGTCAATAACAAGCCACTTCAAAAGTGTTATTAAACTAGACTACTGAATAGAAATCAATGGTTTCTGAGTAGCTTAATAACGTCGTATAATAAAAGAGAAAGGTCACTATTGACTGAATGACTCTCTCACTCATCACGAAATCTCAGAAACTACAAGTGCTAGGAGTCGCAAATTTTGCATGGGGGTTTTCTTTTAGAACGTAGGGGTTTTTGCAAAAATCAACCTCTAAGAGGTTAAAACAGGATCTACGCGTACAAAGTCGCGGGCGGCCGCTACTTTCCAATAATAATTTATGTATTTTATATTTAGCCGATTGATATTTGATTCAAGGTTGCTTCAATAAAAAAAATGGACTAAGAATCAGATCAATGAGCAACATACCAAGCACCAAAGAATAACACATTACCTAGACAGACTGTAAATCGGAGCGCAAATATAGTTTTTAAATCAGCCCGTAGCTGAATGAATAATTCAGGC